AGCAAATGTAAAAAGGTGACTATAGTTATCCTTCACAGATCAGAAAAATGCTGTCCTGAAATTTAATACTAAGAAAAGAAAGGTAGATCTGTCCAATGCCTCATGTTTTGGTGTCTTGGAACAGGGACCGTAACTTGCAGATCGCCAGCTGTGTACAGATGTCCAAACCCCTCCCCCCCTTTTTACAATATGTAAAATTCCCCAAGAGTTGCACCACTAAATGTGTTGGGCAACTGTGTCCACGATTCATTTAGGAAGCTAAAGATATTTAGCACATTTAAAATGGATTCCAGCCATGCAAAATCAGGAAAGCAGGGGAAAAATACCGACGCCAAGGCATCAAGATTTATCATTCTGCTAATTTGTGGCCCTCAACCCCCCCCAATATTGTGCTTTTAAAGAAGTTTGACTGATGACTGAGGCGGATTAAGTCAACTGAAGCTCGTGAAGCCATGCTCTTGGGCTTGAGAAAAGGAAATGGAATTGAAGAATGCATCTTCTGATGGAGCAAGTCAACTGGATAACAAATTTACAAAGGAGGACAACCTCTTGCTCTCATGGCCCAATATCTCAGGACTTCCTGGAGTAAGAAGAGAGATCAGGTCAAGCAGATGCCACCAGGAAGCTCGGAAGCCCAATGAGAAGACATGGTGAAACTTCACAATGGTTGGCATCCTCCCTACTCGGTCTCCACACACTGCAAGAGAAGTCTCTGTCTCTCTACCTTCTTAGGGGGCTCTTGCTTCTGAGTGTAGATGTTAGTCTTCCCAAAACCTTGTCCAAATTTGACCACGGCACCATCAACAATGAACGTCACCGGAGCGTTCTTCTGCTGGTGTTGGTAAAAAAGGAGTAGTCCACACCTGGAAAGAAAGTGACCGCTTGTTTTATTTCCTTCCTCTAATAAACAAACAGTCTCCCTGAAGCTGATATTTTAGCTCACTTCACCTGCTATATTAAGCCTCAGAATGACATAAACTGCAATCATTTCACCCTTCACTAATCTGGGCCTATTTGTTAAGCTGGATCCCAACCCCCAACAGCCAGTAGCCCAATTTACGAGAAGACACTCAATTGGGGATGCATTAGAGTCTTCTGGATGACATCCTAACGACTGCATCACACTGGATTTAGATCCCTTTGTTTTATTTTATTTTTACTTTGGAGAAAGAGCTGAGTGTATTAATTCACCAGATCACAATGGCCCCCCACAGGCTGTATGTTCTTTTATCACTGGAAACAAGATTTGTTGACTGTTTTATCTTCTGAACACTTGCTCTGAAATCCACTTACTTTCCACACTTTTTCCTGTATTGTCGCTCAATGCCTTCTGGTCTAGGTAGGGAGGAAAAATAGGTAAGTAGGCTTTACTTTGCTTAATCTTAGTTTGTTGCAAAAAAGAAGTCATTTTTAGTTGGGATTATATAGTCTGAGAAGGCATAAATCCTGGATTTATGCCTTCTAACTTATTGTTAGAAAGAATATATTTTACCAAGCAAACTTATTTTTCCACGTGACTCCTGTTAAAAATGCGATTAAAATTATATTTTCACAAAGAAAGAAACCATCAGTTAATATGTAATGAATAAAAACAAATGTTTCAGCCATTTTAATATTACATCTTCCTCTGCAGAAACAAAGAGGCCGATGGAGACAATGAAGACGGGGACACCCCCTTCCAATATTGCATATGAAAGATGAAGTCCATCAAAAGCAAAGATTTGTTTCTGAAATTATACATCTTTGATTTTGACCATGGCTGCCTGGCCCCTGGCTGACCATCCCTGGCAATGGGGCTTTGTGGGGCCTTCCTACCTGCGCAGGTAAACATTTTCCTCTTCTTCCGTGTTACAGAATTTGTGGGCATGTTTGACCGCATCAATAACTCTGGCCCGATCACGGGGTCTCATGGGCAGCTTCTCAAGTTGGCAGTCTAGAAAAAAAATCATCATCATAATTTTAAAAAGCCTTCAGGGAAAATAAATCTAAAGTCAGGTGATCAATGTGATAGGAGGTCCCAGAAAGATTAAACAAACCAACATCCACCCCAATATCAAATCAATGTTCCAATCCCATTTTACAGTTATTAATCAAACTTGGACAGAAAACATCAAACTCCCCAAACGTTTGATAAAAGGAATTGCTTTCTAACATGGAAACCATCGTACAGATCTTAATTATACCCACAAGATTTCTTACAGCGTTTTTTTCCCCTGAGCAACATTTGGCAAGCTTTGTTGAAGTTTCAAGGGTTTTGTTGACTATGGAGCTTATTTATAAGAAGGGGGAGATATTAATAAAAAGTGCTAGGAATAAAACATTGGCTAGCTCAAGTGTGGAGTCATGTCTCCCTTTCCAAACCTTCCAGTATTAGAATGGACAAGTTTACTTTTTTATTAAATTTATAAGCCACTCATTTTATCACCCAAAGCGACTCCGGACAACTCTATACCTTGCATTAGGTTTAAATACCTCTGATGCTCACCCCCAAAGCAGCTTAGGAGGCTGGCTGTTATTTGCTAGCATGGGTGAAATAGAACTCCCCTATCCCCGAGGACTACAATCTCATCACCCCCCAGCAGCGCCCACTTGGGTTGAAAACACCTAGCAGGTACGGCCGGAAAGCTTCAGAACCAACCTGAAAGCTTTTGGACTTCAACTCCCATCAGCCCCACCCTCGCGCTCCAACGGCGCGGAACTCCGGGAGTGGCAGTCCCGGCTTTGCCAGTCGTTCCCAACGGCTGGGTTCTTACAACCGGTGCGTAATGCCCAAGGCTTGCCGAGGGTTGTGGGGGTACCCGCTTTGCGCCCTGGCCGAGCGGACGGGAGGAGAGGCGGGATATGGGGATGGGGCCGGGGTCCCTTCCTTGGCTCACCCAGGACCAGCACCATCTGCCCGCAGAGGCAGTAATACACGTGTAGCGGCTTCTCGCCATCGTCATATTCCTCCCGGTCGCGCGTGTCGGAGCAGACCACGGAGCGAGAGACCACTTTGGGCATGGCGGCGCCGGGCGATCGGGCTTGCTCCGCCTCCCCAACCCGCTTCCCCGCCTGCTTGCAGCGAGGTCGGCTCCGCCTTGGACCCGGCTGGGGCTGGAACTGCAAGCCGAGAGAGCTAGCCCCTTGCCATCCTTCCCCCGGTTCCGCCCGCTCGCTCGCCTGCCACGGCCGGCTGGAGCGCGCCAGTCCATGCGCGCAAAGGGAAGCGCGGAGAAGGCGGGCGCAGCTGCCTCAGGGGTACAGGAGGAGCGTGAGAACCGAGGTTCCCGCACCCCCTAAGCAGCGCCCTCTCTTCCGCATGTAAGATGCGGGCGACCCCTTCCCACGACCGAGATGCTCCCCCCCCTCCGCCCATGACCTTGATGGCGTGGCTTCCCTCTTATTGTTGGCTAAACTTGTTACTTGCTCAAAGAGGATAGCTTCTTCCTTAAAAGGGTTCTGGCTGGGAACCATGGGGGTTAATGTCCCAAAGGTGCTTTTTCCAAATAAATTCCAGTTACCCTTTGGAAAAAAGCATCTTTGGGACAACCATGATCTGGAAAATTGAGAATCTTCCGTAGACATAGGAGTTGAGATCCTGAGCATCTGAGCAGCCTATTGCACTTCTGAAGGGAGAACGCTTGCCGGAGGTGGAAGCCAACTTGGACATCTTGGAAGATGATGGGCCCTGCAATTTTAAAACAGCAACGGATTTTGACTCCCTTGGTACTGAATAAAGCTACCTAGGGCTTCCGGGATGAAAGCGTGTGATGGTGATTCAGGAGCAGACTGAAAGCTATCGATTTTTTTTTTAAGTCTAGAGGAAAATTGGTATGTTTGCACTCCTTACTGGGTGGCCAGGCTGTAGCACTGAACATACATGCGCCATTCACAAGGCCCAAGACACACATCTCATCTAAACTCAAAATAGTAATTAAAGGCAGCAGTGTGAATTGTATCTTGGCTCACCATCCCTGCAAATTCCTGTTTTTGCACAGATACTTCACTTCCATTTGTTTTGACTCTTCGGTAATGATGTTTAAGCTTAGACATGTTAAAGTGTTGCAATAATATAAATATAAAAATATAAAGTTGCAATAATAGGTCAAGAAGTGGTTAGGAAATAAGGGATTTAATAAACACTGTCCTTGTCTACTCAAGAAGTCTCTACATTAATGAAGAGGCATTGAAGATAATGACACATAAAAGAACTGAGGTTGAGAGCATCCCACAGGACACAAATGATAACAAGAGATCAAAACCAATTAAGCGCATACAGTGCCTACGCTAAGGCTGGGTTCACACACCCTGCTCAATACTTTGAGATTAATCTGCCAGTTGTGGTTAGAACAAAGTATTATTGAGCAGGGTGTGTGAATCCAGCTTTAGTGTAGGTACTATATGCGCTTAGTTGGGTTTTAGCTAATTCACACACTGTACTGTATTATCTTAATTCAGTGTTTTTCAACCTTGGCAACTTTAAGATGTGTGGACTTCAACTCCCATAATGGACTTCAACTCCCATAATTCCCCAGTCAGCATGCATTATGGGCAATTGTGGGATTTGAAGCCCACACATCTTAAAGTCGGCAAGGTTGGCTTAACACTGCCTTCATCCAGGGATGGCAAACTTCATTGAGTGAGGTCATATAGAAGGCCGAGCCAAGCCCATTGCAAGACTGTGTGATGTGTGTACCCAGTTCAACTTCAACCCTTGTTTTCAACTCTGAAAACAAGGCCCCAGCCACTGAGCCCAGGGGGACTTATTTTGCTGTAACACCACTGTGCAGACTGCATAGCTTTCAAATTAACGCCCCGCCCACAAGCGGGGCAGCTGATTCTACCAACCAATAGAAAGGACGGGAAACGGGCAGAAAATGGTTTCTCCTCCTAAAGCCCTCCCTTTTTCCCCCGCATTAGTCTCGCCCAGAACGCTCGGCTTGGCGTCAGCCTGAATGGTATCGCCCTGCCTTTCGAAACACCGCCCCTTTCTTCCCTCCCTCCATGCGGCGCAGTGGTACATCCCCGGTGTGAGTCGGCGGCTGCGTGTAGCGCCGCCCCTCTCTGTTTTCTCAATTCCCCCCCCTCCGCAAGGGCAGTGGTGCGGTCCGGCATTGGCCAGACGCCTCGGCCGGCGCTACCACCGCCGCGTAGTCAAGGGCCGTGTCCGCCTCGCCTCCTTCCTCGCCCCCCCATTGTTGAGGCACAAGTGGAAGAGGCTGCCTCCGCTCGGAACCAGCTCCCGCCGCTGCCGCCGGTGCCGCCGCCTCGCGTCCCCCTCCCCGCTCTCCGCCCCGCTGGTGTATGAGTGATTCGTAACCGCGAGCCCCGCCATGTCCACGCCGGCCCGGAGGCGCCTCATGCGGGACTTCAAGAGGTAAGCCGCCCGAGAAGGGCCACTGAGGCGGAGGGAAGGGGGGGGGAGCGCAGCGGAGGGAGAGGTGAGGCGATCCAACATGGCGGCGGTGCCGCTGATGATGGGAGCGCTACGCTACTGGCGTAGCGGCCTCGGAGATGAGGGCGAGCTACGCCGTTGGCGTAGGCGGGGCGAAATCCCATCGCTTCCCTTCTCCCCCCCCGCCTTTCAGCGGGCGCCCCCCTCCTTTTTAACCCTTTCCTGCCCGCCTCTCCCCGCACAGGCTGCAGGAGGATCCCCCGGCCGGAGTGAGCGGAGCCCCCTCGGAGAACAACATCATGGTGTGGAATGCGGTCATCTTTGGGTGAGTTTACCCCCCCTCCGCCCCCCCAGGAGGACTGCAAGGCCTCCCCCCCTTTTTTTTTGCACCCCATGTCGGTGCTCCAGATTCAAGGAGCATCATTTCCTGGAAGATCCTCCCACCCCACCTTACCTGGGCTTTCCCAAAATTGCAAATGGGCTATTCAACCGTTTGCAGATTCCCATTTGGAGGGCTGGGTCCGGTTGGCCCAGGTTCAATCCTGCCCCCCCCCCAAAAAAAGCCCAGTTCTGCAGTGAAAGGGGAAAGGTTTAGCCCTGCAGAAGGGAGCCCTGCCTGGTCCCAGAGGATGGAGAGGCTGAACCCCCATCTCTGTTCTGCCAGGGGATAGGAAGAAGCAGGCCTGGTTTTAATTTTCAGAGGAAGGTGACTTTGCATGCTTTTTTTTTTTTTTAAGGGGTCTTTGGTGCTCTCCCAGCTTGGTTGTTTTCTTGCAGACCTTTCATGACCCAAACTAGGTAACTGATGATGTAGTACTGATGCTGTTACCTACTTTGGGTCATGAAACATCTGCAAGAAAACAAACCAAGCTCAGAGAGCATCAAGGACCCCACGGTCTTCGTCCTCCTCTCTGCATAACTCTCTCCCTTCTAACACTAATGATGTTGCCCAGTTGGGTCATGAAATGTCTGCAAGAAAACAAGCAAGCTCAGAGAGCACCAGGGACCTCTTTAAAAAAAAAGAGCATTCAAAGCCACCTTCCTGAAAATTAAAACTAATTAAAATTAAAACATCCCCCTTTATTGGCTTAAGCTAAAAGACCCTCTCAAAATAAGTGCAGTTGATCTGCAAAAACTTAATTTCTTAGGAAAAGGATGGGTCCCCCTTTCAAAAGGGAAGCCTGGCAGCCATTTGTGAGGGTTGGTGCAGGACTGTCGCTGTCTCTCCCCTGGGTTAGCAGGAGAAAATAAGCAGTCTGGTCTTCAAAGGGCTGTTGTGGATGAGTTGAGAGCTATACAAATATTTGGAGGATCCTAGATTCCTTTTCATAGACCTGTATTCTTCAGATGATCCCTTTCATGGTGGGATCCCTCATGTTTCTATTGCAGCCAGCATGCTAGGGATGTTCGGTTTAGATCAGTGGTTCTCAACCTTTTTAATGCCGTGACTCCAAACCGGTCGTAAGTCGAGGACTACTCAACCGGTCGTAAGTCGAAGACTACTCAACTGGTGCAGCACCGTTTGCAGAATGGGACTTTTGGCGGGCTCAGCAGGGCAGAGACAGCCTGGACAATTCCTATTGGCTTTTGAAAGCCAATAGAATTAGACTCTATTCAGAGAGTCTATTCTATTGGCTTTCAAAAGCCAATAGAATAAAAGGGAGTAGCACAGCTAAGGAAAAGGGGGAAAAAATGGTGGACTGCGTTGTTTGGCGACCCCCGTGAAATGGTCGTTCGACCCCATCTGGGGTCCCAACCCACAGGTTGAGAACCGCTGGTTTAGATGAAAGGGGTGCCAGGCTTCAGTTCATTACCATGTTGGGGAAGGTTAAGAACATAAGGTGATTATGATCTGCAGAAGCATGGATAAGCATGCTGGCACTCTTATGTAGCCTCTTGCTATTGATTAAATTGGCCAGATCTGATAGACTTGAAATCTAGGACATTCAGAGGAACATAATTTTCCTTCCCTATATTCAAATAATCATTCTAATTACTTTCCTTATCAGTTTATCAGATGTTTTAATTCTGAGCTTTCGTCAGTGGGAATATCATTCTCATGGCCCAGATTTACTTCTCTGTGATAATAGTCTAGTCATTCCACTGGCTGTTTCCCCCTCCAGACATATTGAATTGTAATTTCCTTCATCCAGAGCCAGCTTGTTTGATAGACGCCCACTTTGGGTCCATAATGTATGGCTCACTTCCAGGAGAAAGATTTGCAAAGGCAGAAATAATTGTAATTGATGATAACATAATAGAACACATCCAGATAGGGCTGGCAGTTGCCCTGGTTTGGTTTTTTAGAAATAATAGCATATTCTGGTAAGGTAGAATAGCAGGGCGTGTTCAGAAGCTGTCGTTAGTGGTGGCTGGAGTTATTTTAATTAAAATAATAATTGTTATTATTGCTATTTTGACAATCAGTTCCTTGGCCTTTTGAAAGAACATCAGGCCATTGGAATGACTAAAAACCGGCTTGGAAGTTTCCCTACATTTATAAACATTTTGTAAAATAGGCCAAAAAAGCAAGTCCATGGATAGCTGTGGTATCCTGTATCTCAGTGGCTTTGGCCAGCTCTGAAAGAAATTCCTCCAAATTATTTGCTTGCTTATCTAATCCAAGACTGATAGGCAGGGAAGAGTGATTCCTGCCTCAACTCTTCCTGACCCAAATGGCCCCATGAGCTTATTTGCTTGTTTTCATTGTGCGTATCCCAAAGAGGTATTGCACAGCGCGTTCCCCACCTCCTGAAATGGCACAAATGATCACGAGGAACCCAGCAACTTGGTTGGTGGAATTTGTCAAGCTTCACGATGGTGGTCTTTGCCCTAACTGGAATTCCCAAGTTGAAATCTTAATCAATAAATGGATTTTAGTTCATCCTTTTACAGTAATTGTTAACTCTGGCAGGTGTGACCTGTTTTGATCACATTAGTTTATAGCGGTTGACATTCCTTGTTTCAAATTGTCTCCGGATCAGAGCTGGTTCACTTTCCTCTCTGCTATGTTGTGTTGACGAGCCCCAGAAAGCTGTGTCTGAAAGGCCAGTTTTTCTCCTGTTTGACCAATCTCTAAATGGGTTGGGATTCCAAGCCTTTGTCCATTGCAGCTGAAGATTCCTCAGGATTGATGATTGCAGCACGTCCAATGTTTGAATATAGGCAAATGCTGTTTTAGGATGGTCAGGGCAGTTCATGCTTTTCTAGGGTCCCTGATGACGTAGCAATGGCTTTTGTGCACGTTCTTCCTTTGTTCGCTCTGTGTCTGCCTTGTCTTCTACCACCATTTAAGACAGGGGTCTTCAAACTTGTCCCTTTTTATGACTTGTGGACTTCAACTCCCGGAATTCCTCAGCCAGGCACTGCCGATTGCTGCTATTCCGTTCTTTACCTCCAGCAATCAAGATAGGTGTGACGGGTGAAAGATAGTAGCCAAAAAGCTCAGAAAATAAATGCTGGCCCCACAGTGGTCGTGTGTTAAAGATGTCGCTTAGGTTTCATTCTTCACCTGAATTTAGTTTGGTCTGAATCCTGTTTTTAGGAATAGAGGGAACGCAGCATGTCCTTTAAAAAACAAAAACCTGACTCCTATAACTAATATTTTACACGTGAGAGGTTGACAACCCTTTTTCTTTTTCAGGCCAGAGGGAACCCCATTTGAGGATGGTAAGTCTTTCTTGAAACAATCTTAAGAGACTAATGTGCTTTTGAATGTGATATCACCCATGTTAATCAGTGCTAGAATCCCACCTTTTCAAGAGCATGAAAGCGTTCCTCAGCTTGCTAGTCAGGGAGATGCCTAAACTAGGGCTCGGAAGCTTTGCCATGTGTGACTCCGCTGCTCTCAATCTCTCCGATTTGTCCCAATGAGTGTGAACTGTCTCTTTGCTCTTCTCTTTCAATGCTGTGTTTTTAAAATTACTCTCCGTTGAAATCTCTGATAAGATCCCATTCTCCTTTGAGTTGAACTTTTCAGGCCCTTAATATCCTTGGCCTTCCTTCCTCTCCCAAGGCTTAGCTGCTGAGGTTGCTTTGGATCCTTCACTGTCAGCCTGACAGTGGCTTGAAGGCCGCCTACATCCTTTGGTTATTTTATTTATTCACCTATTTATTTGTATCCCACCATTATTATTTTTACAAGTAAGTCAGTTTTCCTCACAACAATCCTGTGAGGTAGGCTGAGAGAGAGAGAGAGAGTGGCTGGCCCAAAGTTACTCAGCTGGCTTTCATGGCTAAGGTGGGAATAGAACTCGCCTTCTTCTGGTTTTTAGCCTGGTGGTTTAACCAGTAGGTCAAACTGGCACTCTACTGAAAATGATTCTACTGTTGCTGCTGCTGCTGCTTACACTTACAATGGCTTTTTTAGAACTCACTTGAAGATATTAATAATTGTGTTGTTTAATTTTATGGCACTCTATATCTTTTTCTCAGATCCTTTGAAAGCCATCTATGCCGCACAGCCTTTAACTATGTCTTTTTTTTTTTTTTTTTTTTTTAATTTTTATTCATTAATACAATTAAAACAACAATGGACAAACATGACATTCCAGAGTGAATTTTTCTATCAGTTCCTATCATAGTACAAAAATTTTATAATTTTATAATTTTTTGTTCTTAACCTCTATATAAACCTCATCTTTTATACAATACAATTATATATACAATTATATGTACAGTTATGTATATCTTTTAGTTCTACCATTAGTTTGAAGTCCGAGCAGTTCTTAATTCATACCAGCGGTAAAATTTGCCCCAGATTTCGAAGTATTCGTGTTCCGTTTTGTCTTTCATAATCATTGTAAGCCTGTCCATCTCAGCACATATTAAAATTTTATGCAGGATCTCTTCTTCCGTTGGGGTTTCCTTGTTCCTCCAATTTTGAGCAAAAACCAGCCTGGAGGCCGTTAAAATGTGTAGCATTAAATAAAATACGCCTTTGTCATGTTTTTGCGTAGTTAAACCTAATAGAAAGAGTTCTGGTTTTGGTTCTACCGCTTGCTCTAATATTTCTTCCAACCAAATTTTAATCCTGTTCCAAAAATCACGAGCTCGCGTGCATTCCCACCACATATGATAGTAAGTTCCACTTTTCAAATTGCATTTCCAACATTTAGGGGAGACATTGGTATACATTTTAGACAATCTTGTGGGTGGGAGATGCCATCTATAAAACATTTTGTAAAGGTTCTCTTTGTAAGAGGTGGCCAAAGTAAGCTTCTTGTTTCTTGCCCATAGTTCTTGCCATATATGCAGATCAAAATTAAGACCAAAATCCTTACTCCAATTCAACATAGTCACTTTTACTTGTTCCTCGTACGTTGCCTGATCTAGCAAATAATAGTATAGTTTTTTAATCATTTTATCCTCCGACCCCAAAATTATTTTATCCAATTCTATTGGTTCTAATTTAATACCTAACTCTTTTTTGTCTTTCCGATATCTTGCCTGCAGTTGCAGGTATGCCCACCATTCTAATTCTATCCCTTCATCGTGGATGGTTTTCCTGGATTTCAATTCCCCTCTTTCATCTAAAATATTTTTATATGTTATGATCTTGTCTAATTGAGTAAATTTTGGGTGTACATATATTTCTAACGGTGAGATCCAACTAGGTACTTGGGTATAATTTGGTTGCCAAATTTTTGTCCATACATCAATAAGAGCTTGCCTAATATAGTGACTTCGAAAATATTTATGTACTTTATATTTATGATCCCATAATATGGCATGCCATCCTATTTGTAGGTCATGGCCCTCCAGACACAATAGTCTCCTATTTTTTAGTAATATCCAATCTCTTACCCATACTAATGCTGCGGCCTGGTAATATTTCTCCAAGTCTGGAAGACCAAATCCCCCCCTTTCCTTTGAGTCCTGTAGTAATTTTAATTTAATCCTTGCTCTTTTTCCTTGCCAGATGAATTTACACATCATTTTGTTCAAATTTTGAAAAAATTTCTTGTCTAATTTTATAGGTATACATTGGAACAAAAATAAAATTTTTGGCAACACATTCATTTTAATCACCGCGATTCTGCCCGTAAGAGAGAGCTGTAGGTTAGTCCAAATATCAAAGTCTTTTTGAATCTGTTCTATTAACTTATCATAGTTATCCCTTTTAAGCGTAGCGCATTTGGCAGTCAGTTGTATCCCTAAATGTCTAATTTTATTTGTAATTTGAACACCAATTCTATCAACCAATTCACTTTTCTGTATTTTAGTCATATTTTTGACAAGCATTTTAGTTTTTTCTTTATTTATTTTTAAACCTGCTATTTCCCCGTATCTATTCAATGTTTCCATCAGCCTAATCCCTGATTGTAGTGGTTCTTCAATAATAAAAACTAAATCATCTGCAAAGGCTTGTATTTTAAATGTCTCTTTCTTGATTTCTAGACCTTGGATCTGTTCATCTTGCCGGATTGCTCTAGTTAATACCTCGAGAGATAATATAAATAACAATGGTGATAGTGGGCAGCCTTGCCTTGTGCCTTTTTGCATTTGGAAACTCTCAGTCAGTTCTCCATTGATTATTACTTTGGCCACCTGCTTAGAGTAAACTGATTTAAACATATTTAAGAAATTTTCCCCAAAGTCCATATACAATAATTGATTAAACATAAAATCCCATTTTACATTGTCGAATGCTTTTTGGGCATCAAGAAAAATTAAACACATTTGCTTTTCATTATGTACTTCATAATATTCCAATATGTCCAAAACAGTCCTAATATTGTTTCTTATATATCTTTTAGATAGAAAGCCGTTTTGATCAATATGTATAAAATCCACTAAGAACCTTTCCAATCTTTGTGCCATTATTGCCATGAAGATTTTGTAATCTGAATTCAAAAGAGAAATGGGTCTATAGTTCTTAATTTGTGTCAGGTTGGTGTTTTCTTTAGGAATCAACGTGAGGAAGGCTTCTTCCCATGAAGCTGGTATTTTAGCTTGGGTTAAAACCTCGTTAAATAATTAGAAACCACAGTTATTTCTTTGGAACTTGAGAAGGCTGCACATTATCTACGGTTTCAAAATGTAGGAGAGATGAAAGGCGAAGATCTCCCAGTAATAATGTCAGATATTCTAGCAGGAGCGTTGGGGTCTACAAGAGAGGAGATGGCCAATGAGATAGATGAAACCTATAGAATACACACAAATTACGCAAGACGACACAATCTTCCCAGAGAAGTGCACAGTAGGTTTATTAAGAAATCAGTTAGGGATGAAATTCTTTTCAGATTCAGAGATGATACACTGGAATATCGAGGTAAACAGCTGATTGTACTTAAACAAGTGCCCAAAAGAGTGAGAGACCTGCGAAGGCCTTACCAATACATAACTTCCAAACTGATAAGGAAAAATATCAATTTTAGATGGCTAACTCCGGAAGGAATTCTGGTAACATGGCAGGAGAAAAAGTTTCGCCTAGACTCAATAGAAAAAGCAGAGGAATTCTACAGGGAAAACTTTGGTAGTAAGGAAGATTTAGTTGAAAGAGAAGCAAGAGAGGAAGGAGAGACACTGGTGCAAGCCATTGAAGCTAGAGGTAAAAGAGTTGAGCTTCGAGAGGACACTGATGAAGGGAAAAATGAAGAAAAGCAGGAGGAGAGTAGGTTTAAGGAAATTAAAGAGGCTAGACCGATAAGATCAACAGTGGAAAGAGGGAAGGATTTACAAACTCAAGAGTCTAGACCAGCAATAGTAACTAGATCTAAACATAGATAAGGAGGGGAAGAAATGTGTTGAATCTATATCTATCAACGTTAATGGCCTCAACTCTCCAACAAAAAGGAAGAAGTTTTTCAATAGGCTCAATAAGATGAATTTAGATATAATAATGTTACAAGAAGTCCACATTAAAAAACAACATCAATACTTATTAAATTGTCCCAAATTGGGGAATATGTTCGCAGCACTTTCGCAATATAAGAAAGGAGGTGTGGTAGTATATATTAAACAAGAAATTGTGGCTAAGCAAATTTATAAGGACGAAGATGGCAGAATTCTAATTGTGGAAGTAATTTTGAATAAAACCAAAATTCTTTTGGTTGGAATTTATGCCCCGAATGAGGGGCAAAAACATTTCTATAAAAAACTCTACAACATTATTAGCCAATTGGAACATGATAGCATTTGTATAATGGGTGACTATAATGCAATTGTGGATAATAATCTAGATTATAAATGTGGAAAGAATAGAAAAAGAATTAGAGGAACAATATCTGATATTTTCTTTAAAATGGTAGATGAGTTTAATATACAGGATATTTGGAGAGAAAGGAATCCTGGGAAAAAACAGTTTACTTTTTATTCTGGACGTCATCAATCTTGGTCCAGAATTGATATGGTGTGGATGTCAGCTGACTTAAATTTAGAAGTAGAGGAGATTATGATTGATACAAATACCTGGGCTGATCACAATCCGATTAGAATTAAATGGAAGGGGCAAAAAAACACGAGGAGATGGACTCTAAAAAGGGCAATCTTAAATCATAAAGAATTCAAATCAAAATTAGAAGAACAATTGGATCTGTTTTTTAAGTCAAACAAAAAGGAGGATACAAACTGCCAAAATTTATGGGATACAACCAAAGCCTACATGAGAGGCGTTGTAATTTCTTATATGGCTAGGCAACACAAAATCAAAACACAACGCCAAAGACAACTGGAAGAAGAACTACGTAAAGTTGAGGATAACCTGCAAAATGAACCACAAAGATGTGATTTGAAACAACAGATTGATTTAATTAAACATAAGATGGATATTATTACGAAGGAAGATCTAGGACAGCAGATAAAACGTACTAAACAAAATTTCTTTGAAAATGCTAATAAACCAGGGAGATGGTTGGCTTATAAAATCAAAAAACACAATAATAAGCAGAGAGTTACCAACCTTTATAACGCCAAATGTGATATGGTGTGCCAGAACGAAGGAAAAAAGCTAGTGGCATATGAGTTTTACAAGAATTTATATAAGGACGACGAAAAGAGAAATAACCATGACATAGTACAGTATTTACAACTAGTCGATTTACCCAAGGTGCCCGAAGAATTTAAAACTCTCCTAAATAAAGAGATAACACATTTAGAGCTCTCGGTTGCAATTAAGAAACAGAAAAATAATAAAACACCTGGACCAGATGGTATACCTGCAGAAATGTATAAAATTGCACAAGAATCTTTAAGCCTTTAACTATGTCTTGCTGTACTTAAACCCATATATATATTTTAAACAGCATGCTTGTTTTCCCTTTTGGCCTTATACCTGCTCCCTTTGCTACCTTCTGTTAATCTCTGAGTTCAGTTATAAAGGCAGTAGTTTGTTTCTCTTCTGTTGTGTAAAAAAAAGGTTGTGGAGCAATTATACAATGCTTGCAAGTTTCACAGCCTGTTTTTCTATCTGCCCGGTCTCAGATTTTCTTCTTGCCAAACAAATATGAGGAATCGTTGGGGTTCTCTGATTTATGGACCCATGTTGAGAAAAAAAGGGCAGGGGAAATTTAAACCCGCCTGTGGATATGATGTAATTAACAATTCCCTCCCCACTTTCTCAATTACAGGAACTTTCAAGCTTACCATAGAATTCACGGAAGAATATCCAAACAAGCCACCTACTGTCAGATTTGTGTCCAAGATGTTTCATCCGAATGGTATGTATCTTTCTTTTTTTAAAAAAAGTAGTTTTTATAAAAGAGCAGAAGCAGGGACTGTGGAAGAAATGGAGCCCATATTTACAGTTTTACAAGCTAGCTTGTAAAATCTAGTATTCCTGCAGGGGTGAAGAAAGGCTGTGACTCCTTTAGAGGTATCTGTAATCCTGCAGTTTAGTGACCTGAAGGTGTTACTAAAGTTTCATCATTCTAAACCATATTAGTAGATAAGAGATTCTGGTTAAACAGGGAGCACATAATACAGTATAGTATATTGTTTCTTAAGCCCCTAAGATAATCAGTTTTGTAAAAAGGAAGTTGAATAAGGTGTTCTTATCGGGATATAACAAGCCTCGGTTTGCGGGATCCTCCCATATTTTAAAAAAACCCACATTGCTCACACTGAAGTCTGACTTTTTCACAAAATAGATTTGTGGACACAAATCCAGGAAGATCAAGCGTTCTCTCTGGGTCACAGTGGTCCGTCTCCCGTTAGGTTATGGGCTACAAAATTATTGCCCCAAAATCTTGGCCTCCATCAGTTTAGGGACAGGTAGATAATCAACTTCTCATAATTGTATTATTTCAGCTGTGGATTTCCTGGGTGTTTGATATACCACTGGAAATTGAAAAGAACCTATAATAAAGAGAGAAGTGAATATTTACAAAAGGTAGCTTGACAGCTATATTTATGTGTTAATTAGCTTTGATCTTTGAAAGGATGTGTCATACTGTGAATAACTTCATAACCACAAATAATTGTGAGGTCATAAAATGTAACGGCATAACATTGTTATCAAGTCGGAGCCTGTGGTCAGAGTCAGGTTCTTCTTCTGGGGTGACTTCAGATGGAGGTTGGTTGAGCCAGGCATAAACACCTGACAGTATACTACAACACTTCCAATTATAAAAACCCACACGTTTTCCTTTTAAGTCTATGCAGATGGTAGTATATGTCTGGATATTCTTCAAAATCGTTGGAGCCCCACCTACGATGTATCATCCATCTTAACATCCATACAGGTAACGGCGGCTGTTCGCTGGTACTTTTTGAAGCTTTGCGGACTTTGTAGGAGTTAAGGCATACAACCTTCCAATCTCATTTGGAATTCAACGCAGTTGACGGAGACAACCGGCTCCTTTGAAGCCAGCTGGCAAGCCGATTTAACGAAAAAGAACAGTCAGAAGTCTCGGTCAGAGGAAACTGAAATTGGATAGGTTTGAATCAGTAGGCCCAGGGGTGTATGATTACAGGTCTGATAAGAGTGCTCAGGGAGCCCAGGGCATCGTTTTGGCCCTCTGGAAAGAAGCTGTTGAGTAAAATCTTACTTGAAGTCAATAGATGAGCTGGTAAAAGGGGGCTTTGAATAGATTACAAATTCTTAATAGCCTGTTTTTTTTTATTGTTTCTGCTGTGAACATAAGAGAGTACACGTAGTCCTCGACTTAACAACAGTTCATTTAGTGACCATTCAAAGAAAAAGTGACTTAACAATTGTTCTTCATACTTACGACCTTGGTAGCATCCCCATAATCGCATGGTCAAAATTCAGACACTTGGCAGTTGGTTCATACTTACAACGGTTCCGGTGTCCCCAGGGGGGGGTCACGCGATCCCCTCTTGCGACCTTCTGACAAGCAACGTCAGGCTGACTTAACCACCGTGCTCTTAACCTGCAGTGATTCACATAACGGCTGTGGCAAGAAAGGTCATAAAACGAGGCATCACTTAAAAAATGTCTCACTTAGTCAGAGAAATGTTGGGCTCTGTTGCAGTCGTAAGTCGAGGACTGGCTGCACTTGATTGCAATAGCAAATCTTCGCTTAGCGCTGCCTGTTTTATCCACATTCAGTCGTGTTAAGGGGGCGGGGCATAGCTACAAGATTTTTTTTAAAAAGGGGGTGTATTAAAGCATCTCAGGTATTCTTAACAGACCTCCAGCACTCAAATAGTTTGAATTTCACAATGGCCGCGCATAGTGTTTGCGTGGAAGATGATCAAACCTAACCGTCCTTTTTTTTTTCTTTCCTTTTCTTTTTCGCTCTTCTAAAACAGTCTTTACTGGATGAGCCTAACCCAAACAGCCCAGCAAACAGCCAGGCAGCTCAGCTATACCAAGAGAATAAGCGGGAATACGAAAAGCGGGTCTCCGCCATTGTAGAACAGAGCTGGCGTGACTGTTGACCTTGGCTGATGCAAATGAACACTCTGATGAGGAAAATATATGTATGAAGTGTCTGAGTCCTCCTCCTCCTCTTCCTCTTCCTCCTTGCATCACTGCATTTACTCGGAAAGCAAAACTAGCTGTCTGTGCTGTGTGGCCAACCACCCTCGCTGGATCTCTTTCTCTTTGGACATCAGAAAAAGGCACCCTTTCCCACCTTCCCCATTGAGGTCAAATGTACTGTACTTGGGTTACTTGTAAAAGAATTACTGAGGCTGAATTTCCACTTCCTGTGGGGGGGGGTCTACCATCGCCAGTCTTAGGGGCAGTATTGTGCATTTTTTTTTTGTAGTGTACACTTAAGCTTTTAATTGTAATTGTGTTATACACAGTGATGCTTACGTGTAGCTTGATTCAAAAAGAGAAAAAAAAAGGATGTTTATATACAATATACATTTTTAACTATGACTTGAGTGCTGATCTGTCCGAGGCTGGTCATTTAACCTCTGGTTTCAACATAACTACATCTGTATTTTATGGAAGGAAAAAACAAACAAACAACACAACCCCTTATTTCCCAGTGTGCTGCTTTTCCATTTTCTCTCCCAAGCCTTTTCAGCTCCGTGGGTTTTGCAAAAATGATTCCATGTTGAGCCTGGGAAGAAGCGGGGAGGGGGGGAAAGAGGGCCGATCCCTGCTTTTATAGGTCAAGTGCAAGGTGATTGTTTGGTGTTATTGTGATAGCACTTTCAAAGGGTGCTCAAGTGGCTTAGCCACACTCACCACCTTTTGAGTAGAGCTGGGGCGAGTACAGAACGAGAGTTGAGAGTTGATGGCAAAAGGGCGTGCAAGGAAGAACATTTTTTTTTTTTTTTTGCTTCTACGATTTTCAATTTCTACCTCTTAACCGGGGAAAGAAAATGAAATCGTTAACGGCTTTGCTTTCTGTTTGGGAGAAAAGGGGAGAAAAAAAAAAGATTGCAAATGCTACTGCAGCATGTGTCTGTCCTCTGTTCCCTTCTTCCTTGCTCTTCCCTCTGCCTGATTTGTAGGGTTCTTTCACCCGTGCAAAAAGCATTTTTTTGTGAAGCTGAGTTTGTACTTTAAGCAGCAGTGTGAGAGGAGACCAATCCGTGGGTTTTTGTCTGCTCTACCAAGTGTCTTCTATGTATACCTGAACTCTGGAGTACAACTTTGCACAAGTAACCCATGTAAGAAACTGTACATTTTTCAATTACTTGTAAATAAATGTGTAACCGAAATGCTTATTGTTGAAAGAAGACGAATGTGCATCGCTTTACATTTGACTCGAAACAAGTGGCTGAAAGTTGATCTTGCAAATTGAGGGACCGTTTAATAATGCTGATGTCTCATTAGACTAAATATTTTCCTTTCTCTCTACATTCTGTTATAGATAACATACTGCACACTTTCAGGAATGCTTACAGCTCATTACATAAATGGGTGGTTTATAGTTAATTTCTGGAGCATCCCACAAGCTGATTGGCTGAGGTAAAGCAGGAGAAATAGTTAAACGGTCTCTCAAGCATGTTTTTTTTTTTTTTTTGTCTTATGTCCATTACTGCACCAGGTGAAACAGGCTGGGTGCCTTTCATAACAAGTTGGAAGGCCCCTTAAAAGTCTCTTGTTTCAGGGGTTATTTTAGGGAGATTGAGAGACTTTACTACTTCCACAATGCCTTGTGTTTTCCAGCTATCTGTCTTTAAACACTGCAGATGCTAGTAAGTTACAAAGGAATGAACTAACGTGTGCACCAGTGGCAAGACCAAGGTGAAATAATGTGTAGGTAAGATGAATTAGCTTCACCCAACCTTTGCCACAACTGGGTGGATTCCCAGAAGTTTGGCCTGGATGTTCTAGATCAGGGGTCTTCAAACTTCATCCTTTTATGATTTGTGGACTTCAACTCCCAGAATTCTTCAGCCACGCTGGCTGAGGAATTCTGGGAGTTGAAGTCCACAAGTGGTAAAGACGAAGTTTGAAGACCCCTGTCCTAGATGAATGAGAAGCTTTGTTAAACAGCAAGCCAATTACACCTGGTGATTAAGAGAGATTGCGCAATATAATTAAGGTCTTTGCATTCCAAGTCTTTGTGTGAAAAAAAATACACAATTGGCCTGTGCAGTTGTTTTTTTGTTTGTTTGTTTGTTTTTAGTTGACAGTCTCTAATAGTTCCTGACTGCAACTCTCTATAATACAATTATCTTTTCATGGAAATGCAGGAATGCCCCAGTGTGTCCTAAAACATTCCAAAGTCCTAATCCATTTTTTAAAAAAATATTTTGCTGCTTTCCCTCATGTTAAAAAGATACCCCCCCCCTTTTGTTTTTTTTACTCAGAACTGTTTCTCTCCTTCAGAGTATAAATCGAGGCTGAATTATTTAATCCCTAAAATATTTTTTCCATTGGGTGTATAGTTTCCAGCCTAACGAGGCTCTACGCAACAGTAAAACAATGGAAGAACTGAATGAAATGGGAAAACAACGCTTGATATCCTTCAGCAGCCTCTCTAGTTGGAAGAAAGCCTGTCAAAGAGGATTAAAAACACTGCATACAACCACAACATGCTACTTCAGCGAGAGAACCTTTTACTTGCTGATCTCCCTGTGAAATATATAAGCACATTTACACAAAGGAAACAGAGTAATATCTAGGGGCTTCAGAGAAAAAACTGGAACTCCCATCTTGCCCACTCCGATTAAAATAAGCCTGACAGGGCACAGGAAATGCCCCATCCTCCGAAGCGGATGGAAAATACAATAATACACATTTGCCTTGTTTTGAAATGTAGAAGCTCCTGCCTCATATCACAAATGATGGAACTGCTGGGAATTGCACAAATTAGGCAATAAGCCTTGGCTAATTTGTTAACTCTGATGCTACCCAGCCAGGCGGTCCTTCCGTATATACCCCAACAACGTGGCGTTCACAATCTCTGACCTGAGCTGCCACTTACAGTAGTTATAATCCAGAGGGCTAGAAATCTGAAAAGGAGATTTTGGCCAGGTGCAATTTTCCCCCATTGAGGTTGATGAAACTTAAAAGACTACAGTTTTAAACCGTTAGTTGTGACAAACCACACCCTGTCCAATGAAACGGAGAATTGGGACTAGGCTAGATGTTGGGTAGTTAAAAAAAAAAAAAGATGTTTTAGGATTTGCTCATTCTGCTGCCTGTTCTGGTTTGCACAGTTTAAGTCAACCAAGCGCTCAAATATTGTGATATTTCTGAATACGCTGAAAATACTTCTGTGCCTCTACGCCCGCCCATTTTAAATATAAAACATGCCTTTCCATGCATGCCCAGCCATAAAAATCTATTAAGAGCCCCTGTGCATATAGTTCTCTTTAAACGGCTGTCTTTCCATGTCTCCCTCTTTTAAAAAAAAAAAAAAAAAAGGGGGGGGGGCAAAATAAAAACATCCTTTTTAAAACTCTGCCAGAGTCCCTCTCCTCCCCTGCTGAGTAGATATTCTGCTATTACCAAAGTAGTTAAAACATGAAGGGGGGGAAAAAAGTTGTATCTGACAGTTCTTAAAACAGGCAAACAGCACAGATGCCATCCAGACTGCACAACGTGGATTTGGACAGAAGATTGCCCTGTTTTCCAGTAAAGTTTCAGAAATTAAAATAAGCAGGAGAAACATTTGAGCTGGTTTTTTTCCACAACAATATACAATGTCTTTTTCCCCCCCGTTTAATGAAAATTTAGCTCCTGACCAGACTCCCCCCCCCCCCGGGAAAAATTTAAGGCTCGCTCCCTATTTCTCCTGTGGCATGATGAGTTCGTAATGGCCAACTTGTCCATCCTGCTTCAGCTGGTCCAGCAAATCTTCTTTACGCCTCTTTCGGCTGACCACCAGGTACCTATCCCTGCCCTGCCCATGAGACTTGCTTTTAAGCCCGTATTTTTGGGCTATCTGATGAATCTGTTTCCGCTCATCGTTGGTGAGTTCCGTGGAAAAAGTCAGATCGATCTTCCTGTCCGAGAAAGCGTAATTTTGGATGATCTGCTCAATATCTTTTTTGGTGATCTGGGAGCCTCTTTCGACATCCAGTCCCAGCCCTTCTCTTTTGAACTGCTCCTTCACCGCAATGGGCTCCCGGATCCCTTCCCCGCTTTTGCCCAAACCGCCCCCCGTCCAGCCCATCTTCCTTAAAATCTGATTCCCAATGTTGTCTTCCTTAATCTGCTGCTTCAAGGCTTCTTCAGCCGAGCGGCCGCAAATCTCGTTCCGGGAAATGACGTCTTCAATGGTGCCTTTTTTCAAGTTGTTGACCACGGTGGGCTGGGTCTTCTTGAGGACTTTCACGGCCTCCTCGGCGGCTACGTGCTTGACACTCTTCTTGACGCCGATTGCTTCGGCAATCAATTCGTTCTCCAGCATCACTTTGCACTTCCACCGCATGCCGGTCATCCTTTCGAAGACGTATTCCACCGTCATCTTGTTGAACTGAGCGGTGTCGTTCAGAGTACAGACCGGATTCATGGAGTTTTCGTACACCACCAGGTCCTTCAGATTCTTCTTCCTCGCGGGGTTGCGGGCAGCCCCACTGACTTTCTGGACCTGGACGGCTTTGGTGGCACTCACGTTGGACTGAGTCTTCTGCAAAATTTTCACGGCTTCGTCTGCCGCGGCGTGCTTGCTGGTTTTCTTAGTGCCGCAGCCTTCAGCCAAGAAGTGCCCTTGCAAATAGACACTGCAACGCCAGAGACGGTTGGGCATCAGCACGTATTTGTATTCCACAGTCATTTTGTTAAAGGAGGCGGAATTGTTCAAAATGCCAATGGCGTCGCTGGCATTTTCGGTGAGGACAAAGTTAGTCCAATGCTTGGCAGAGCTGGGCCCTTGTTGCGGGTCAGAACTCAGCTGCCTCGACACACTGTCCTTTGCAGGGGGGTTCACGTCATCCGGCAGTTTGAGCGCTGGCGGGAATTCAAGCGAAGAGGTCCCACTTTCACACACCACCAAATCCTCCCGCGTGGCGCTCTTGAACTTCCGCTGAACCACTTTGACTTCAACGGGTTTTTGCAGCAGCATCACCGCCAGCTCAGTGGCCCGGTCTCTGGAACCATTTTTGCTGCCCGCATAGCCCGTGGTCAGATAGACATTCTGACACCTCACCTCGCAGGCAAAACCTTCTTTGAGAATCTTCTTCTTCTTAGGGAGATCGGCAGGCGAAATGTCCTTCAGGGGTGAATAAATATACTCCGGGTTGGTCTTACAAGCCTGAATCGACCGCGTCAAAAGATACGTGTAGTTAATTTTGTCTGGCCCACCGCTACAATTGGGGTTGGCGAGATTGTTGCAGACGGCCATTACAAGCTTGTTAATGAAACACTGCTTGGCTGTTACTACTGATTTGGGGAAAGTTTCGGAAGAGGATTGGAGAAAAGCAGAATCTACCAAAGTCGTCGTGCCCCCAGCAGTAGAAATCTCTGTACTTTTGGGAACCACTTTACCTTCGGGTGGTTTGACCTGGCTACTTCCATAGCCAAGGCCTACTGAACTGGAGAACTGGGAGTCCCTGTCTTGGGTGCCGAAGCTGCTAAACACCCGATCAGCGTAAGTTTGGATCTGCTGGGCTGTGATATTCTCCGAAGTGTCTTGGGCTTGGTTTTCTGAAGACTCTTCTTTCGATGGCGGTTGAGTGTTGCTGGCGACAAAGTGGATGGGCTCAAAGCGCGGCCGGACGCGGAATTTGGGAGCTTGCTTTCTTGCATTCTTGCAGTCTAGGGAACAGAAACCCACAGGAAATTATTTTCAGCGATGGTGGAAAAACTGATTAGCTCTTCAACCTGAAGAGTAAGACTCATGCGAAATGGCAAGTCAAAATGAAAAGGAGATATTCAGGACTTCAGGTCCCATGTGTTTATGGCGAACTTACAAGGATGCCCACCTCTGTCTAATATTTATTCAGATGAATGTCATGCTTAAAGTAGGGCTAGAATTTATTGCCTCCTGATGAATGGACCAAAGTCACCCAGCCAGCTTTCATGTCTTAGGTGGGACTAGAATTCGCCTCTCCTGAGTATACATTAAGTTTTAGTTAAAAAGATTTATTGCTGATGCCTATGCACAAGAATCTAGTCAATTAACAGCCAGCATTAAATTGGTGCAAGATAAGAGTTAACAGAATTTGGGGGGCTGGACTTGGAGCATTTGTGGACATGTAAGGATTCTAGGGTAAGTCCTCTCTTGACCCAGCCTCTGCCTCTTCTACACAACCCCACACCTCTTGGGGTGTCTGGTACATACTGTTGTAACCATGACAGGCTGAATTACCTATGCAGCTGTGCCAGCACAAACCCTACGATTATACTTCCAAGGTCCCTTCCAACTCTTGTTATTCTGTTATTCTGCTTCCCAAAAAATTTAGGAAGGAGGCAGGCTGAAGGGAACTACGTTGAAAAAGAAATGAAGATGCTCACTTTGGGGAGAGTCATCACGTGGAGATCGGGGTCTTTTGGCTGTCTTCGTGCCCGGCACCAGCTCAAAGGACGGCATCTTACCCACATCAATCCCTTCCGCCATCCGCAGGACTTTCTGCATAACTTGGGAGCCATATCTGTGGTTATGGAAAAGAGGAGTCAACGCGTAACTCATTTAATGGAAGGCTTTGGATCTGAAAAGATCCTTCTAATCTTTCAGAATGGTTTACGTCCAAACATCTTTGCAATTTGAAAAGTAAATTCTTAGAAGAGAAACAATTGAAATAAATCACTATTTTTGGAGTAAAAGCCTCGTAGAATGCTCAGTGCAACTTAAGGATGCTAAGATGGAAAAGAAACATATTTTAAATACAGCTTAAGGAAACAACCAATTCTGTACTGGGATGGCAAACACAAGACTCACATTCTGTTCCATCGTGAAATGGCAGTTGAAAATGAAAGCCATCAATTGATGGAATGAGTTGGTCAGTTAAAAACAGACCCTGAAAAATCAAAGCTAAAATTCTCTTTTAGAGCTGTGACAGAGATTCTACCCGTGGGTACCATATTGTGATGTGCTTCTGATTGGGAGTCAAAAAGATGGTCTGGATGACATGGCGACATTCAAGTGACATCTCTCTGCAACTTCTTAAAGCAGCTGCATCTTTTCTAGGAATTGCTTAGCTATTTAAATTTGGTTTAACAAGTTGCCAAGTTAGTTTTCACTCCTTAAGCTCTTTTCTCCAGTCTGGGATATTCTGACACTTTCATCCAGTTCCTCTGCCAAATATACTAACACAGTCAACAATATAACTGTAATTTTTTTTCCATAACTGGGAAATTTAACATCAGCGTATTTATGTCTTCACTATAGCAGAGACATTTCTGTTTCGGCAGAATCTGGTTTCTTGGATAGATTTAAAAAGAATGAAACTTTTGTGTATTTGTTGTGTTTTGTCTCTACTGCACTTGACTGCTCAATAACTATAAATAAAATTTATGATGGGTATTTCAAAAGGCTGAAGAGCCATTTTCTCCTTAGGGACTGGATTTCTATTAAAGAATACTCCGAACAGCAAATTCTGCTATAAAGTAATTCAACTGGCAAATAAACAGTCAGGATTGAAATGTTGAAATGTTCAAAGCAAATTTTAGATTGAAAAGGTCTTTTAAAAAGAGTGGGGATAACAAAGCGTCTACAGATTTAACTAATTTGCCCCCAAAATGTGAATTTTGGCAGTCTGAAAGACACAAACATCTCCAACATCTCTGAATGACACAGCCAATAATGGAAACAATGCTGGGAGCTGATGTTTATCAATCTGTGGAGGATCACAACATGTCACCCTTAAGGAAAAAATACCTTTTTATTAATCCAATCACCCTGAACCTTCATAATATGTTGGGTGAATTTATATATAGTATCTGAAATGCAATCTGATTCCCCCCCCCCCCAAGAAGCTATAGCCGCAAAACAAGTTCTCTCTTGGCTTGGCATCTGGTGTGAATGCAAGCCACTGTGGTTTAACCAGAGTTTTAGCAAAGCATGGCTTCACACAACCCTGTAAACCCAGACACTCTGCGATGAACCAATCCTGCCAGCCCAGGTCTGCCATCTTTTTGCTTCTGAGACTGCCTCCTCTTATTATTCCAGGTTTGGGTCACAAAACGTCTGCAAGAAAAGCGCCTAGTTCAATCCTGAGCTACAAAAATATTCTCGTTTATTGGCGCTGTCTTCTCTTTTCTTTCTTTCTTTTTTTTTTTGGCCATCAGGCAGAATGCAAAGGCCAAGTGCTCTTAACAGAGACTTTGCCAGCCTTCTCTGTTTCCCCCGCTGCTTTTGCCAGGCTGAGGGGAGGACTTTGCAATGCTAAGGGCGAATCTTTATTGGATATATGTATATTGTATATGTCCATTGGAGGTGGCTGGTTAGCCTTTGAGAGCCGAATGCAACAAAAGTTCATGTTAATGTATGCTGGTTAGAGTACATTTAAAGTGACAATAAAGTTGTTCTGTTCTTTTCTGTTCTGTATGCTGGTTAGTGTACATTTAAAATGACAATAAAGTTGTTCTATTCTATTCTACTCTACTCTACTCTTACTCTATATTATTATTCTATTCTATTATTACTCTATTCTGTTCTATTCTATTCTTTACTCTACTCTTGGATTGGATCCGTTTAAGTAACAGGCATGGACCGGGGAGAAAGACCTCCAGTGGATAAGAAGGCCACCCAGCTTGGGGTCGGGGGGAAGAAACCAGGCAACGGGCGCCCGCAGAAGACACGCGCGCAAGCCGGCCTACGTTCACACGTGCAGAGTAGCAAGAGGAGGAGGAGGGCGGCGGCGGCCCCGCTCTCACCTGCAGCCCAGGAAGACGTGGTTGCTCCAGACGTGCGAGAGCCCCAGCAGCTGCTGGAAGGCGTCCGCGCCCGGGTAGCCCGGCAGGTTGCGGAGCAGGAACTGCCGGCGCAGCCCCCAGTGCCGGTCGCTCTCCTGCGCCTCCCGCCACGGCTCCACGGCCGGCTTCCTCGCCCCGGCATCCGGAGGAGGCGGCGGCGGCGGCGGCTGTTGCTCCTGCTGGGAAGCCGGCGGCTGCGGGGAGAGGAAATCCCCTCCGGGCAGCGTCCAGCCTCCGCCGGCCATGGAAGCGAGGGCGGCCGGCGGGCGGGCCCAGCGAGCCCCGGCTGGACCGCGAGGAAGTCCCGGCCGGGAAGAAGAGCAGCTGCGGCGGCCGCGGAGGGCAGACCTGACCCGACACGGGTCCCGCCGGACGTTCACACGTGCTGGAGGCCGCGCTTCCTTTCCCCCCCCTCTTCCGCGCCTGCGCGCGGGCGCGCGAGCGGCAGAAAGACGGCTACAATGTAACCTTTTCCTCGCGGGTTCCGCCGTTCCTTGTTACACGCGGCTCACGTGGGTGGATGGAAGTGCCGAGGCGCGCGAGAGCTTCCGAAGAAGGCGGCCCGAGCGCCGTCCTCTCCCGGCCGCGTCGCACAGCGCCACCCAGAGCCCCGGAGGACCCAAACCCTTCCAGGCTGTGAAATAATCGAAAATACTTCCTATTTTTGCCAGGGGTTTTTGATCTCCCAGCTTGCTTCACTTTCGTTTCTGAACATTTCGTTAAACAGGCTGCCTGATGAGGTTAGCTAGTCTGGTAACGAGACGTTCAGGAAGCCAGTTGGAACAAGCAAACCGCTGCCCAAACCACCTTCCAGAATTGTTTTTCATTTTCTTCTTGGGGGGAATTAAAGGGCTGGGTTGACAGGCTCAGATACAAACAGTCCTTGACTTACAACAGTTCCCTTAGTGCAGGGGTAGGCAACCTTGGCTCTTTTATGACTTGTGGACTTCATGCTGGCTCAGGAATTCTGGGAGTTGAAGTCCACGAGTCATAAAAGAACCAAGGTTGCCTATCCCTGGTGTAGGGTCTCCTGCTTGAGCAGGGGGTTGGACTAGAAGACCTCCAAGGTCCGTGCTAATTCTGATATTCTGTTAAGACTATAAACCCCCTCGTCCTCAGCAAACATAGCTAACGCATCTGAATGGTATGAATTTGGGGGACAAAGCCCCTAGTTTGAAAGAGAGTGGAACCTGGAAGCTACAAAAGAATCAAAGGTATTAATCTATCAAAATCACTCCTATCTATCATTATATTAATTACTGTTATCTAAATACATGTACTCAGACAATGTCCTGTTTGCTAAATATTGAAAATGTTATTGGGGGGTAACCCCAATCCTGTCCCCAACCCTACCCCATCCCTAACCCTGATCCCAACCCCAACCTAAACCCTAACCCCAACCCTGATCCCATTCTATCCCTAATCCTATAAAATCTAATAAAACCTTTTAAAAAAATCACTCCTGGAGTCCTTTCTGTACAAGTTGAGGGTTATATAGTCCTTCTACAGAACTCAAGCAAAGTTGATTTCAGTAGATGACTTTCCCTTTCAAGCTCTATTATTAGCTTACAATTCACTCTAAGATATGGTTTGTTGGACAATCTACACATAGAATGTACGTATGAATAAGCCTTCATCTACTACTTATTAATTGCAGTGAAATCACTAAGCCCAAATCAGATCAAATGATGGCTTAATATGTGTGAATTTAACCACAGAAGTACATCTTGAGGGCTCTTCATTGTCACCAACAGGCAAGGGACTCATTATTGGTATTATTCTTAAATGAAAGGAGATGCCCAACTTCCAGAAGACCGAATCCTCTTTTGATTGTAACAATATCAAAAAAGAAATTGACTAATGAGTAATGATTGTGACGATGGGCATTTCACTGGAACTGGAAGTCTTTCTACACCGAATAAAACTCTAGTGACTTTACTTAGGTGATAAACATTCCACAGTACATGACTGTTATGAGTGAGTTTCTAATTTTTCATTCAGTCAAAACTGAAGGTCTGGAAGAAGCACCAAAAGCTTGTGTCCCACCATGCAGCCCACCACTGAAAATGGGTCTTGCTCCTTCACCTCTGATGGCTGGACACGTCGTAGATCACCTCTAGAGGATCCAAGAATGGATTTTTGATCTCCTCCTGATGGTAGGAACCTTGTAGGACGCCTCTGAAGGATCTGAGAATGGATTTTGATCTCTTCCTTGGTGGTTGGACGCATTGTAGAAGATTTCTGGAAGGTCCAAGCCTTCATTACTTGGAGCAAAGTTATTTTTAAAAATTGTTCCTCCATATTTTAAGGAATCGGGGGTGCATTAGATACCTGAAAAATAGGGTCTTCCAAATCAAAATAACTTAACAACCGCCAAGTTTACGTGAATGTGATTTTTGTTATCTCCAAGCTAGACCATTGGAGAAATCTCAGAAGAAAATAATGACCAGGGACCATTTGCTTTTGGGAGGGTAAATTTTTATTGAAAATTGACAACATTAGAAAGGTATTAAGTTCAACAGTGCTGGTTCGCTCACGTGGGTCATGTAAATATATATCAAGTGCAGCTGTCCAATCACAACTGTTCATAACAAAATGTTTTAAAAAAAGAAGAGACAGGAAAAGGAATTCTTGGAAACCAGGCCATGCAGTGAACGGTTCAAATAAAGTCCCAAAAGTTCGTAGTAGGTACATTTTTAAGGGCAGTTACATGTGACTTGCAACGATAACTTTGAAAAACAAGAGGATGACTTTACAAATTGATTTTCCTTCACCACCTTAATAGAAACATCAGTTTTTATCTCCCTTTTAAAAGGGCTTCGAACTTTGGGGATTAATTCACAACAATAATACTACTTAGGTCTTTTATACAATATCTCTCTCTCTCTTCCTCAAAGGCTTTTAAGGCTCTTTGTGCATTTTAAGGATTCTTGCAAAGAACAGCTGACATGAGTGATTTCTACAAGACAGGAAGCTGGATCCAGGACGAGAGATTTAAACAAGGAACTGAACAGAAATAGATTTAGTGGATTTATGTATTTTTTTAATTGGGAAATATTCGTTGTTACTTTTTTTACTGAAATGGCAGATTATCTATGGGAGGTTATCTAAGCCCACCCACCCCCAGTGAAAAATAGAATTTACCCTCTCTAACGTCCCCGACTGCCCTTTTACATAGCGTTCAAAGTAAATATTCCTCAGAGGTAGCAAAGTCACGAGGGGATTTTTTTCCTACGTGTTGTCTGTTGCATAATTTTTATCCACTCCAACCAATGAAGGAATAGGACAATTCTTTTTTTTTTTCCCCTCTACTCGAAAAACACGATCATGATACGGAGGCCAAACTAGGAAGGGAATAACCATAATCCTAATCACAATTAAGTCCTGTCTCAGTGTAAAGTAGCCACCTCATTAATTGGACTGCAATATTTTGGGAGTTGGGCAAAATGTCTGACGCTCGCCTTTCCGATTATTTTTCCCATCTTCTCTTGCTTAAAATAAAAATAAAAAAATAAACCCAACATCCCCCCCACACATGAAAAAAAATAGGACTGGGAGAAAACAAACCCAAATCTTTTTTTTCCAGGCTAAGTTTCTTTTTATTTATTCTGGTCTGCCCCTCCCTTCCCAAGCAGGATGGGAATCCCTACGTTCGCTCAAGTGGATGTCTTCTTAGAGATGCAGCAGGTGGAGACAGATTAGAAAAAGCTACAGAGAGAAAGAGAGAGAAAAGGGAAAGAAATAAAGATTTGTTAGTTAAACAGCAGAGAGCTAAGAGAGGCGATCAAAGGCAAAGCAGATTATTGACCACTTGAGGAACACAATGACACGGAAAGAAAACAGGCCAGTAAATCTATGTTTTTGCTACCCTGTTAGGAGCCCAAGCAGTAAAACACCGTCAAAAGAGGACAACCACATGAAATAGCATATGGTCCTTGTTTAGCGACCACAATTGGAACCAGCAACTTGGTCATTAAATGAAGCGGTGGCTAAATAAAACCGTGACGGTGCCTAGGATCAGACTTCAGATTTCCTTTGTTTTGCAGATCTGTGAAGGTCGTAAACGCAAGGGCGGGTTGCGAAGGTATTGTCTCACCACCGTTGTCGTTGCAGTTACTAAATGAGGCAGCCGCTAAAGGAGGACTACCCCCTTTAATAGATAAGACTGCAGATGTCTTGGGGTGAAGGGAAACGCATGAATGCACAGTACAAACACAACATATATATTTCAAATCAATGCAAACGTTCAGAGAAAAGCCAGGCAGAATTATAGAGCAAGACTCTATGAATGAATTCTTAAATTGGTCATCTTCTAAAACAAAACCACAACCTGTAGTATATTTAGCATGGCCTTTCTCCCCCCCCCCCCCCACAGTGAAGAAGCTACAGGCGACGAATTGCTTGCTCGCTGCTGGAAAAAGTTCAGGAACATGAACTATTTTATTTTTCAGGAACCCAAATGTTAACTTAGAAACCCAGAATTGGATCTTAAACATCCTGGCTCTCATCTCCTCCTCCTTTTCACGTTTTGGGCAATGGAACAGCTTAGAGCAAAGAGGTGTACAGAGTCCCCTGTGGATTTAACTCCACTAGTCATTGCTGACTTTAGGGGTGCTGCTCATCTCCATTTCAAGGCCACTGAGCCAGGATTGAACAAAGACATTTCCGTGGCCATGTGGTCACAGAGCACTGTTATCTTCCCACTGAAGTGGTACCTATTTATCTACTTGCATTTACATGCTTTTGAATTGCTAGGTTGGCAGGAGTTGAGGACAGGAGCTCACCCCATCGTGTGGTGGTGGGGTCTCAAACCTGACAAGCTCAGCGCCTTCACCATTGAGCTACCATGCCACCCCTAAAGGGGTGTAGTCCCATATCTAATTAAAAACTGTTTATAAACCCCAGTGGCTCATTAAGGGGCTTTATCCATGTAATTCCTGCTCCCACTTAAAATAAATGAATAAAGGCAGCAGTGGGAAATAACACAACTTTTAACATAAAGAGTATTCAAAGGGTGTGTGTGCCCAGATACTGCAAAAAAAAAAAATTGTTTCTTTATTTGCCACTCAACTAGATTTTAATGACATGCTTGGGTTAATACCACAGCACATTCATCACTCCATTCCCTATTGGTGGACATCTGAAAATACAACATCAGCCTTCAATTTGCTAGCAATTTGCTTGACGAGTAAACTTGTTGGGCTTGTTTACAGGCAACCTAGAGTGGGCATCCTAAACAATCCACAGCATAGAAGAAAAGATCTTTTATATTAGGCGCGCACACCATGATACAGCCAAAGCAGCAAATTGTTTGCGTAGAATATAAAAATGATATTCTGGAAGGCCCGTGAGATGACCATGGCTGAACGGGAGCGCAATAAATAAGTGAAGGTCGACATCCCAGCTCAGTATATTCAAGGGGGATTACTCAGTACATAGCCAGGGATTACTGTAAAAGAAGGGTAACGACAAAAGAAAACAAAAAAGGAAAACAAAATAAAAACAAAGCATTAACCAGAATTGTTTCAGTGTTTATTTTTCTTTTCTTTTTTAAAAAAAGCCTCCGATCGAACATAAGGACAAGGCCCCCCCAACAGGGAAGTAACATTTGAGAACATGTGAGGGGATTTCGTTCATTCAGAATGATTTCAGTGCAATGGGGTTTATTTCCGAGAAAACCAAGGTTTCAGATTTGAAGGGTTTCCAAGGATATTGAAAATATGAACCACCATTTGGTGGCGTGGCTAAGAAATATACCCTAAACCAGGGGTCTTCAAACTTGGCCCTTTTATGACTTGTGGACTTCAACTCCCAGAATTCCTCAGCCAGACATGCTTGTGGATTTCATGTTGGCTGGGGAATTCTGAGAGTTGAAGTCCACAAATCCTAAAGTTGTCAAGTTTGGAGACTCCTGTTCTAGAGAATGGACCGATAGTTGGCCATGGGTGGCCTGTCCATCACCTTTATAGCTGGGACCACCAAGTAGGAAACATTTTACAATTATGGAAGACATGGATTCAAGAACGAATATGAGAACAGGATACCAAATCCAAAGACAGGAAGACATTCAAGTGGGCTTTCCCTCACACATATCTGTAGAGGCAATATCCTTGCTAGTAATGACATAGAACTTCATCTTTCAAGCTATATTTCAATTAAAATCAAGGCTAATGAACGGAACAGCTGGAATATGCCAATGCACTCTCTCTCTCTCTCTCTCTCTCTCTCTCTCTCTCAATATGGATTATGGTATTGATTATAGATTGGCTATAGACTCTAGTCAGGTGTAACTCATTGGTAAAATTCTGGCTTATACATTGACGGTCCAAGGTTCAACATTCAGGATGGAAAATGCTAAACCCAGTTCCAGTTACATCTTCAAATTCCTATTGCTGCACTCATTGTGTTTGTAACAGTCAAGACGGAGAGAAAGACGAAAATCCTATAAAGCTCTTCCAAAAACAAGCCAAGAGAAAAAGGAACTTTTTAGGCTCAATCTTTTTTTTTTTCCCCTCCCTTTGGCTTAAGGAAATGCTGATGCTGAACATTTTGGAGACATCAGTCCTGAGAGAAACTGCAGGTCAATAGGATAAAAACAAATCAGTATTTGGAGCTTAGTTCATCAGATCCAAAAAAGAACTGCCAAATTCTTTGACTCTTTTTGTATTCAGGAAAACAGGAAAACAACAAACCAGAAAAAAATGCAGAATATAAGAGGAAGATGCATTAGAAAGAAAAGGTACAGAGATAAAATGCATATTAATTTAAAATACGGATTATTTTTTTCCTTGGGAAAGGTCTACACAGGAAGCTTGAAATGAAAACAAACAACAGTAACCAAAAAGGATTAATATTTCTCTCAATTAATTTAGGCTAAATAAGGTTTGAACCAGAGATGGACAATGTATTTTAAATCCAGTGTCACTCTGGGAGATACCAGACGAGACAGCAAAACCCTTGTTTATATATTACATTCAAAGGTTTGTGTTTTATTGAAAACAAACATACAGTATGTATCAACTGTGATCTTCCTATTCTGGAACAAAATATAAACAGTTGACTAAAAAAACTGACTTTAAGGCTTAATAACACTCTTAATGGGGGAAAAAAATGACCGTAATGGACTAAAAACAATATTCATCTGACTTTTAAATTTCTTGAGCCTGTAAGCTTATAAACCACCTAGCAATTTTTATAAGGGATGCTTCACACTTAAGCTCTTGTAATACTGGCAAAGAAATGCAAATAAGCATCAACACAATTCTGGCATCGCCACAGTCTACATGCCCATCTCTGGTATCTAAATTATAAGAGGAAAGGGAGAGAAATGGTTAGTTTTGGATTTTGTTTAAACATGCTTGAATTCTACCGCATTATATTTGCCACCTTTTTGCTGCCAGCAGATTGCAGCTAGCAGTTGAGGTGGAGGCAGGAGAACGCATGCGCCATGCAAAATTTCCTAGCCCAAATCAAAACTGGAATGAAAATGGCTGGGAAGGGTCTCCCTGTCCTTTGCAAAGGAAGAACCAGATGCCTTGTTCTCCAAGCCTTTGTTTGCCACCTATAATCTGAGGCTTCTTTGACCCACAACTAGCATGCTTCAGGGCTGAACGTGGCAACCCGCCAAAAGCAATTCAAAGCTAACAAGGACTCACAATGTTTATCCCAGTTCCTCTCCAGCCCTGGGTTATGTTCTGAGACCAGGATAAACAAGTCTATTGTTTGGGCCCGTTTTTCACATTGCTGATGTGGTTCCTGAAGACAAACTGTTGGTTTTTCTCCTTTCTGCTCTTAGCTCGTCTTTCATTCTGGGCACAAACTATTCTGGAAAGGTCCTTTAACTCCAGAAAAACTTGGTTAAATTACTATATCAGGCACACCCATCGGCTATTATAAAAGGTTCCCAGTGATTCAAGTAAGATTTCATCCTAAAGAGCTGGAAGATATATTTTTTTCCCAGTACAGGAAGGTTTAGTTATTGTTGGCTCTAACCACCTTAGCCACTAAAGCAGTGGTTCTCAACCTTTTTAATGCTGCGACCCCCAACCGGTCATAAGTCAAGGACTACTCAACCGGTCGTAAGTCGAGGACTACTCAACTGGTGCAGCACCGTTTGCAGAATGGGACTTTTGGCGGGCTCAGCAGGGCAGAGACAGCCTGGACAATCCCTATTGGCTTTTGAAAGCCAATAGAATTAGACTTTATTCAAGAGAGTCTATTCTATTGGCTTTCCAAAGCCAATAGAATAAAAGGGAGTAGCACAGCTAAGGAAAGGGGGGAAAAATGGTGGACTGCGTTGTTTGGCGACCCCCGTGAAATGGTCGTTCAACCCCAAATGGGGTCCCGACCCACAGGTTGAGAACCACTGCACTAAAGGCTAATAACACTATAGATAGCCCTTGACTTACAACTGCAATCGGGATCAGAATTTCCGTTCCTAAGCAACTTGGCTGTTAAATGAATTATTATGGATAAGTGAATCTTGAGATGGTTAACAAATCTGGCCGGCTTCCTCATTGACTTTGCTTGTCAGAAGTCAGTTGAGGAAGTTGTTATTGCAGAATGTTGCAACCATCGTAAATACATACCCAAATTTTGATCTCATGACTGTGGAGATGCTGCAATGATTGGAAGTCCCCCCCTTTTTTTTTCCAGTGCCATTTTTGTCTTCGAACTAACAGAATGTGTGATTAAGTTGGGGACGGCCTTTAGTTTTTGCACCATGTGAATTGAACAAAAAGCTTTTAACCTTATCCTATCCAGAATGGGGGAAAAGTCCCTTTATGAACCTCAGTTACTGCGTTATGGAAACTAGCATCGGGCACCAAAAAGGGGAGGGGCAAAGGAGGAAGGAACTCATGCATTTTGTAAGAAAGATTTTAATACTTTTTTTTTTTTTAAAAAAATGTAATACTTAAAAAAAATCTCTGCGGCAGTCCAAATAGCCGATGTAGAAGGGAAAGGATCTTTTGCCTGCATTCACCTTATTTAGAAGAAAGGGTGCGTAAGAGATCTGTGTGTTGGGAATGGCCAAAAATGCTAGGAGTCAGATGATTCAGGAGGCTTGTGTCTGGTTTGGCACAAGGTGTGTTTGTGGATCCCACTGCCTGGCCTTCTCGGTTTAGTCACAGCTTACCAGCACAAGGTGCCGTCATGCACCATGCATGCACCATGCAGCAAACAGCAGGGATTAACTGAAAAATAGCACACAAATGACAACTAAGAGGAAGGCAAATTTAGCGCACTGAAAACGTAAGGGAAAAAGAAATAAAAGATTTGTTTAAAATAAGCCTTGATTTTTTTTTTCTCACATTACTTCAGCAGCGAGGGAAAAAACTTAAAATAATTTTTGCAGGTAGCCAGGAAACAGTCCATCTGGGGAAGACTTGGTGAAAGGGTAAAAATGGAGAAGTTGGGGAGATACTTCTATTTTTGAGAAGGCCCGCTTAGTTATCGTTTTGCAACACGATAAAGTTAGGAGGATCGGTGGATTTTATTTGGCCTGCTCAGTTCTCGTCCCCATATGTCAAGCATCACATGGAAGCAATGACCCTGAAAGCAGTGTTGGTCCACCTTAGCAAGATTAAGATGTGTGGACTACAACTTCCATAATTCTGGCTGGGGAGTTCTGGGAGTTGAAGTCCAAACATCTTAAAGGTTGCTAAGGTGGGAATTCTGAAGTCCACACGTTTTAAAGTCGTTAAAGTGGACAACACTGTCTTACAGCTTCCGCCTCAGACTGAACAGCGTTAGCGGCTCCAACTTTTCAAATAATGCAAACTGAGAAAGTTATTGTCTTCCTAAATGACTGGGGTAAAAGCCACCTGTGTCCCTAAATGGGTGACTCAATGGTCTGAGAAGAGTGAGGAGCACCTGGCTTTAAGGACAGACTTCCTTTCATGAGGTGAGGTAAATCAGATGGAATCAACAGTGTCACTAGATGACACGGTTTAACTCCAACTTGTGTCTTTCTGGCCAGACAGTTCTCCAGGTTAGATAGGGGCAGTTTTTATGATGGGAACCAATCATTTGGATTTCAGAGGTGGGTCCAGAGAACGTCCGCCATCTTTCAACGAGCAAAGCCCAAGAAACGTTGCTACCAGAGGATGGGAAATCGACTAGACATTGATTAAACTGGTTGAGGGACAACCCATGAGATCCTACCAATCTATCTATCCATACCCTGAACAGCCCAGCTCCCAAAGAGGGTTTTGAAAAGAGGCAAGGCACGTTGGCACCCCAAGGGTGGTAAAATGACATCAACTGTGGAGAAGGAGGGAAGACATCAACAAGGAGGGAAGAGGCCAGGGATGTCCACTTACTTTTTTCTCTCCTTGTCCCTTTTCAGTGTCTGTGAACCTCCTGCCTGCTGAGTCTGAGACTGAAGCAGTTCAGCAGCTGTCTTCCTCTGCTTAAACGCATTGACTTCATCATCCAGGGATTTCTTCTTATCTTCCAGCTTCTTCTTCTCATCCTGATGCAGCTTCTTCAGACGATCAAATTTCTCATGGAGCTGGAATAAGGGCACAAAGGCATACAAGTAGATCCAATTCTCAAGGGGAGATCCTTGGCAGAATCAGTGACATCTAGAGTTCATCCAGAAGCCAAGAGGTTCCTTAGAAACTTACGCGGGGCCTGGAATAAAGTGACCTGAAATACAGACAGTCCGAAAACTCTTTAGGAAGAGAGTTATGACGTTCAGCCTCCCATGACTAACTTGCTTTGGGAAGAGATTGCACACAATGGACAGAACCTTGAACAAAAAATGTGCAGCTTGGGGTGGAGCAGGTCTGATGTTTGAATAGCCTACTGACTAAAGTAGCTGAGACCGAGATACAGAAGTGATAACATCAAAGCTCAAGAGAAAACTTTGATTTAATTTAAATACTTCTCTGAGATAGCACAACTCGCCTTAAATCTCTCACAATGATGTGGCATTCTGGGAAACCTTTCTCTGGCTGCCATTATATTCACAGATACTCTCTCTTTGCTTTGCATAGAAAAAAAGAGTCTGCAAGAAAATAAGGATTGAAGACCCTACTCATTTAAAGCGGGGAACAGACCTCTGGGTGGTAAGACCTAAGATGTTGCTTTGGGAAGGATCCCACAAAACGTTTAATGCAGGTGATGCTGTGAGATGTGCAGCTTGATTAAACGGAAGTTATCTTGTTGCAAAGAAAATAATGCGTTTAAAATCAGAAACCTCGCTCAGATCTAAACCGTTAGACACCTCGGTCATGACCGATGCAGTACCAGTTCAGCCTCTCTGCAGACCCTCGTCCATTCAAGAGTCGCTTCAAAATGAGATGGGCAGCAAATACATTTAATCAGTCAATCAATTCACCTCTTTTTCAGCCTCTTTCAGCTCCGCTTCCTTTTCTTTCACCCTCTGGACAAACATCTGTCTCATTTCCTCTTCTTTCTTCTGAAGTTCTCCGAGAAATTCATTCCTTTTGGCCTCGTAGGTTTCTTGTAAACTACAGCAAGAAGGTGAGAAGGGGAACATTTGAAAAAGAGGGGAAAAAATTCAGCCAATTCAGTTTGAGTCAGCCTGCAGCTAACGTGATCAAAAACGTATTCATCTCTTTATTCGTGCAGGAGCAACCATCCTCTTGGTTTATTTTGGGACAGCCCCCTCCTTCCACAGGTGCCCCTGATCTGGTTTAAACAATACCTGAATGGCTTGCTGTCTGGATCGGAATCCTTAAATCCCATTTCTTCCAGTTTACATCGCCGATACAATTCATAATGGCGTGTGTGGGTTTGTTCGCGAAGATCTTCCATGTTTACCCGGATCAACATCTCTCTGAGTTTTACAAAGTCACAGTGGGCTTCGTTTTCCACTGCATGGAGTAGATAAAAAGAGGGTGGCAGATCAATGACTGGCTGGGGAATTCTGGGAGTTGAAGTCCATCAAGCTGCCAAGGTTGAGAAACACAATGATCCAATAACAGAATAACAGAGTTGGAAGGGAAGTCTTCTAGTCTAATGCCCTGCTTAGGGAGGAACCTCTATGTCTTTTCAGACAAACGTTGTGCAATCTCTTCTTAAAACCCTCCAGTGTTGGAGCACCCACAACTTCTGGAGGCAGGTTATTCGACTGATTGTTTCCACTGATTAATTTCTCCTTAGTTCTAGAGTTGCTTCTCTCCCTGATCAGTTCCCATCCGTTGCTAATTGTTCTTTCCATCCATTGTTTCTTATTGAATAGAAACACGAGTCTAAAATTTATTACACAGGTGGGACGTTTTATGGAACCTTCTATTGTATATGAACCTAGCTTGTTCAAGACCAGCTGCACATGGTCAAGCTAACACAACAAACATTTTGTCAAGATGCCACCAAGGTCTCTTGAAGTAACCACCTTACTTACCCTGCACAGTCCCCCACGGATATTGACGCGCCTTCATCATTTTATTTCCTATCTTAACTTCTTCTGTGCTACCAATGATGGCAAAGGGTAAATGAGCCTGGAGCACCCCAAGAAAAACAGAGAATGCATCTTTAATATTAGATGACGTGTCAAGCATTTCCAGCAGGAGCCACAATATTATCAAATGGGGTGAAATGTTATGGTTTATCCCAATTGCAAGAGACTACTATAAGATAATGTTTTACATACATGGTAAATCTGTAGATCATACCTCTCTACTTGCATTTTATTTATTAATTTTTATTCATTTATTCATTCAATTTTTATAGTTGCCCAATTTCTATAGTCGCCCAACTGGCTTACAGTTCTAAAATTGTAAAACAATTAAAACAAAAACAATAAAACAGTAAAAACATCCAGTAAACTTTAGTAGAGTTGTTGGTATTTTTTTATTCCCACCTCCCCCCTCTATTCATGTTATATCTATGTTCACTTAGTTATCTGATAATGTTTGCTAATTATAGTTCAATTCAAAAACAAACTAAAATCAAAATCAATATTCTTTCAACACCATGGATGAAGGGAGGAACAATACAGAGGACAAGGCAGTCCTGCCTGAATCTTTTTTCCAAATGCAACATTTAATCCAGGAGTTATTACGGTTACTGCAGTATTATCTTACATTCATGGTTCCATTTATTTCTGACACAGATTCATCGTCAGTAGGGAACTGATAGATTTGCACCCCGTTGCTCACGAGTTCACTGGTGATCTTAATTTTGAATTTGGTCAGCTCGCTCTTAGAGATGGCATCGGATTTGGCAATAATAGGAATGATATTCACCTGCAGGAAATCCCAAAGGAGAAAAGAAGCATTCTGAACATTTAAAGAACATCAAGTTGGACTGCGTGAAAATCCCCAGAGCCATTTTGCCAAAATGTCAGGAGAGTGGAAGAAGAGTGGACTTTAAGATAGATAGATAGATAGATAGATAGATAGATAGATAGATAGATAGATAGATAGATAGATAGATAGATAGATGATGGATGGATAGGATACAGAGACAGAGAGAGAGAGAGAGAGAGAGAGAGAGAGAGAGAGAGAGAGAGAGAGAGAGAGAGAGAGAGAGAGAGAGAGAGAGAGAGAGAAGAATTAAAACTTAATAGGAAATATGCACAATCATAATTCTTTATATGGGAGGCAAGATTTTGGTTAGTGTTCTATTCCTTTTCTTTACATTTCTACCCCAAAAAGGGATAGCATATGGTTGCAATTACCTTTACATGACACACACCCATTTGGGGTCTGCATGTCATGGATATTCGGTGGCATAATCAGGTTTCCCGTGCCACAGGTTGTCCAGTTCTGATTTAATTTAAGATTATCCATTCTGATAATCCAGTGTGGGCTCTGCTGTCTCTTATCTGATCATTCTCTCGGCTCAGTCTTCCAATCTTTCTTCCCATAGAGCATCAGACATCCTTAAACTTGCTATCGGATTCTGTTCAAGCAGAACTGAATTAAGAGTTCTGCTCTCAAACCATACAATCTCCAAACGAACCAATCTTGCTTTTCAAAGTATAGGAAGCGTCACAAGAAACCTCTGGAGTCACGTGAAGCGAGAGCATGAACAAGACCTTCTCCTGTCATGGCCTTACCTTACTGTCCAGTTTCTTCATGGTGACCAGATCCAGGGATTTCAAAGAATGTCCCGTGGGAGCGATGAAATACAAGCAAGCATGGACCCTGGAATCGTGGTAATTATGCAGCACCCGCTTAATTTTCAGCTCCTCTTGCAGATAGGCTTCAAATTGGGTGTCAATGAATTCTACAATGGGTTTGTAGCTTTGTGGAGGAAAAAAAACCAGGGAAACAGAACACACGTTAATTCTTTTCCAGTGCTTCCTACATAAAAAAAAACAAAGCTTCTTTTGTGCAACCTCTTTCATCTGGTAATTCTCCAGATAGTTAGGTGACTATACCGGTCCCAGAATTCAAGACTGGACATCATTTCACATGATTATGCCACCCACGTCCACTACCTTTCCTGTTCAGCAGTTCATCTGAACATCTACGAGACCTGTCTGGATTTAGCCAACAAGACATTACCAGATTTGGTTCTCAACCGTATAATGAAATAACAGAGTTGGAAGAGATCTTGGAGGTCTTCTAGTGCAACCCTCTTCCCTTAACAGGAGACTCTATAGCATTTCAGACAAGTGTTGTCCAATCTCTTCTTAGAAACCTCCAGTGTTGGAGCATCCACCATTTCTGAAGGCAAGCCGTTCCATTGGTTGATTGTTTTGACTGTCAGGAAATTCCTCCTTAGATCTAGATTGCTTCTCTCCTTGATTAGTTTCCATCCGTTGTTTCTTGTTCTGTCTTCTGGGGCTTTGGAGAATAGATTGATCCCGTCTTCCTTGTGGCAGCCCCTCAAATATTGGAACACTGCCATCGTGTCACCCCCTAGTCCTTTTCTTTGTTAGACTAGACATACGTAGCTCTCCTCAAGATGAAACTGTCCAGAAAATAAGCCCTGGTTTCTATTTCATCGTGGTCAAGTCCTGCTTACCTGTCCTCTTTGTTAATCTGGTCACCGAAGCCCACCGTGCTGACAATGGTCAGCTTCAGATGAACATTGCTTTCCTGCAAGTCGTAGGAACTGGATTTCAGCTGAACTCCTGGCTGGGAATGAGACGCTGGGTCTCCTTCAAACTTGGTGTTGAAGAGCGTGTCCATCAGGGTTGACTTCCCAAGACCCGTTTCCCCTTGGGGAGGTGAAAAACACAGATACTCACACATGTTTTATTTAAAAAGGAATCTAAAGCATACGAGGAAATCTAACAAATAATAGCAAATGCAGAGTGAACCAAAGAGCATGTGTAATTTCCCCCCCTCCTTTCCAGTATTTACACAGGCTAAACATGTGATGAGAACATTATTTATTGGTACAGTATAGTTTACTTGAGCAGGAGAATACTTAATGCCTTAAGGAAGAAATTCTGAGATTTCCACCTCAATAAACAAAAATGAATAATCAGTATTTTAATTATGAGGTCCTTGTTCCTTTAATTATGAGGTCCTCTCTGCGCTGGTTTGCTTTCTTGCAGACGTTTCATTACTGTACCCTGATGATGTTACCTAGTTGGGTAATGAAACGTCTGCAAGAACGCCAGAGAGCACCAAGGACCCCAGCAGTTGAACCCTCCGCTACAAATATTCTCTTCTATCGGTGGCTTAATAATAACCAAAACAAAAATGGTGTGCAGGATAAAGTGAGGACTTTTTTTTAAAAAAAATGCACTTCAGTTTAAAAAAAAATAAAAGGTTAAATTCTTCCTACTCCTCAAATTTGGAATCCAACCTATTTGGGTAGCTATGAGGCTCCATCAAACCCAAGCAAAATAAATTGTTATGGCAGGTTGTGTTTTTCTTCCCTACTTTTTTTTTTGTTGTTGTTAACACAATAATTCACTGACATACATTTCCTGCATCACAGAACACAGCAGAATTTGCCCTCAAGACATGGGGGAAGGTAGGGGACCCAATCTAGTCCAAATAGAAATGGCATTTCCAAGCACGGAGACACACGCAAATGCACCTCAAAGCAGAGCAAAAGGGGAGGAAGGACAGAAAAAGAAACACTGATGTATGGATTTTGGAAAAGGAGTTTGAAGATTGTGATAGAAGCATTCACGTTTGGTTTTTTTTAATAACCATGTTCTTCATTATTTTCAGATTCTGTTTTTCTTTCATGAACATATACACACACGTAGAGAGGAGGATGTAATGCTTCTTTTATTCAATAGTGTGTTTGCGTCTGGCCTCAGGGATGCAGTAAACAAATTTGAATTTAGCCACGGAAAAAAAATATTTTCCATGTTTTCTTTTAAGACAACCTCACCTCGGTCAGCCCTGGTGTGAGCTCCCAGCCTTTTGCAAAACCGACACATTCGACATTACACAAAATGATTGTCGCTATTAGCAATTCAGCAATTAAAAGCCATCCTTCCCGTGGGCTCTAAAAATGATTTTTACCCGGCTGCAGAGAAATAAAGTGGCACTTATCACCATAATTGACGAAAGCAAAAATGCCAAGGCAACACAGGAAGAAGCAGAATACAGGTATATAATAAAAAAAAAATTGATAATCCTCCATCTGGGTAATCCGCAGCTTTTCAGAAGCATTTCCTTTTTTAGGTTATTTTTTTCTCCCTGCAAAGGAGAGGAAGAGGCAGAATCCACTTTCAGGAGAATGCTGAGCAGGGGGGAAGAGTGGAGAAGAGCCAAGAGGCAGGCACACATTAGCCCCTAAGACCTGCAAGAGTCTTTGTGCAGACATGAGAAATAAAAGCTCAGGACAGATACCGAGAGAGAGGAAAAATGTCTAGGGAGATCATTCTCAATCATCCAGGACGTGATGGTCCTTTTTCCAAAAGGCAACTGGACTTTCTTGGGTTTTTATTCCCCTTTGAAAACATTTGGCTTCTTATCCAAGAAGCCCCTTCAGTTCAGTGTCAGGAGAAACTGGGATTCTAGCACTGATGGTGTTACTTAGTTGGGTCATGAAACGTCTGCAAGAAAACCACCAAGTTCAGAGAGCACCAAGGACCATATGATCCTCCTCCTCCTCTTCCTCCTCCTCCTTCTCTGCCACCAGTCCTTCTCCTCTTCTCCATCTTCTCCTCTTTCTTCTCCCCCCTTTCTTCTAGCACTGATAGTGTTACCTAGTTGGGTCATGAAACGTCTGCAAGAAAACCACCAAGCTCTGAGAGCACCAAGGACCATACAGTCTTCCTTCTCTTTCTCCTTCTCCTCCTCCTCCTCCTCCTCTGCCACCAGTCCTTCTCCTCTTCCCCTTCTTCTCCTCTTTCTTCTCTCCCCCCTTCTTCTAGCACCGATGGTGTTACCTAGTTGGGTCATGAAACGTCTGCAAGAAAACCACCAAGCTCTGAGAGCACCAAGGGACCCAAAGATCAACTCAGAGCTATCAATGTTCTCTTTTATCGGTACCTCCACATCTAGACAGCCTATGTTTTGCCCAACAAATGTCAACAGTTCATCAATCCAATCCTGTCCTTACCCTATGCCTACCCAGAAGGTTTGATTCCAGTAAACCGTCCAATTGTTTGCTCTGTTACCGATTTATCCTGTGAAGCAGGCTATCTTTGGTTTCTGCTAGCATGGATTGGCAAAGATTTCTATCTCAGAAGCTAAACAGATGACTATATTGGACAAGTTGAGACAGCCAGTTGATAAAATAAACAGGTTTCTTGCTTCCTTTCCAAGGGCAATTTTTTCTGTAAAATCTCCTTCCGTCAAAAGAACCAAAAACATCAGAGATTTTGATGACGTGCAAATCCGCATCACCCCTTACAAAGTAGTGCATTTTACACGAGGCGCCAGTCCCGATCCCAAATTAGAATTTCTTTGTTGCTTTTTAAGGAAACCCATCAGCCGATCCAGTGTTACTTTCCCACAGAATATTCTGAGATTTTTCTCTTAAGGGAAAGAATTTTCTTCCAGTTTTAGCTTTCTGTCTCCGGGATAGGAGGAGAGAAAAAAAAACGGAGGGGAAAAACATAGACGATATATCTTTATTTTTTATTCATTTTCTTCTTTCTCTCCAAAGTGATGCAACTGTGCTTACAGTGATATCATTGAAGATCACACCTGAAATGTTCCTTTTTTAAAAAACAAAAAAATGATATAGGAATGTGCGTAATTTTTTTGTTAAGGCTCTGGAAAATATAAATATTTTGAGCGGCAACGTTAAGAGGTTCTGGGACCTGCAGTAAAAAGCACACAATGCATGGACCGAAACAGTGGAAGAGTTGGGTGGAATTCAGCATTCTGTCACTTTTTTTTTTTTTTTAATTTCAACTTGCTCTCGTCAAGATATGTCATCTCTGGGCCTAGGGCCAGGAAGAGGGAACGGCTTTTTAATGCGCTACGGATTTCCTGCAACCCAATCCAGACATTGGGCTTTGGAGAGGACGCAGAACACATTAAATTGCCCGAGGAAACAGCCGTAATCATCGCTTTCAAACTGAAAAAAGTTTCTTGGAACCAAAACGGCGGAGACAGATCCCCGTTTCGGTGTAACCCCATCCGGGAATGGAGCCCAGCCAAGCTTCCTGACAGAGAAGTCTCCCAGGTTGAATAGGCCATCCTTCACAGCTGGCCAAAGCCGAGCCATCTTTGCCAAGAATCGAATTAAAAAGCTGCTTTTTCAGACAAAGGGCGGCCGTAGAAATATGGGAGATAGGAAATAAGAACTTTCTTTATAGAAATAAGAACTGTTTGTTTGTAATGCATAAATGGGAGACCCTGAGTCCAGATGAGCAAGCAGAAAGAATTCCTGTCTTGGAACATTCAGAGCTGCACCCGAACTTCCAAAGCAGCCAAACTGAACTGCAAACACATCCAGATTTGACATTACCATTTCCTTTTCATTGAAATAAAAGCAGTTACGTAAAGTTCTTTGCAAAAAGTCTGCTTTTTTCCTGGGGAAGGAATGAGAGAGAAGCTGATACAGAGAGAGAGAGGGAGGGAGAGAAGGAGGGAGGGAGGGATAGAAGGAGGGAGGGAGGGAGGGAGGAGTGGGAGACAGAGAAGAGGGAGGAAGAGGAGGGGGGGAGGGAGGGAGGGAGGGAGAGGAGGGGGAGAGAGAGAGGAGGGAGGGAGGGAGAGAGAGAGAGAGAGAGAGAGAGAGAGAGAGAGAGAGAGAGAGAGAGAGAGAGAGAGAGAGAGAGAGAGAATGTTTCTATGAAGTTGCCCCAGGGATAAATCTCATTGTTACTTCCTTTATTTGTTTGTTCATTCGTCCAATTTTTATTCTTTCATTCATTCATTCAATCAGTGACCCTTGGTAGTTCACAGTTCTAAAAACATAAAAAAGGTTAAACCTTAAAAAAAATTAAAACAATAAAAGCATCCAAAATAAATATATACATCATATGTATTTATTTGATTTCTACAGATTTATTTTCTTCTTTGCCCATTCGTTCGTTCATTGATTATGTATTTATTCATTTACTGAGGACATTTATTTGATTTCTTCTGTCTATTTCACCTTCCACCCAAAGAGTTTAAAAGGAGGGTCCTAGATATTCTTCCTCCACAAAAGGAACAGCTCAGGTCCTCAGTCATTTCCCCCCCCCCACCAGTGACCTCCAGCCTCTTTGAGCATCACTCAGCCATTGCTGTGTCAAAATTTCAATTCATGTGGACAGACTTTACTAGGTCATGTCAACAATGGCTGGACGTGGCTGTGAAGGTTCTGTAAGTTACTGGTGTGGAAACTATCTTACTGTCAGACACAAAGAGTCAGGACCATCCGTGAGACTGCAGCACAGAAGATTTGTTCAAAAATCTAGTCAACTAAAGTTCTGAGATTGGTTGTTTTCTTGCAGACATTTCATTATCCAAACTAGGTAACATCATCAATGCTGGTAATGAAAGGTCTGCAAGAAAACCACCAAGCTCAGAGAGCACTAAGGACCCCACAGTTCCAGTAGTTCTCCTCCTCCTCCTCCTCCTCCTCCTCCTCTCTCCCTCCTCCACTCCATTCTAGTGTTACCTAGTTGGGTAATTAAAGGTCTGCAAGAAAGCCACTAAGCTCAGAGAGCACCAAGGACCCCACAGTTCCAGTAGTTCTCCTCCTCCTCTCTCTCCCTTTCACTCTATTCTAGCACTGATGATGTTACCTAGTTGGGTAATGAAAGGTCTGCAAGAAAACCACCAAGCTCGGAGAGCACCAAGGACTCCTCTTTTCATTCCTGCGCTACAAATATTCTCCTTTATTGGCCGTAAATTGGCACCAGAGAAGGGTCAACAGAATTCAAGTTGGATTGGACTTGGGACTGCTGGTGGGAACGTAACTACTCTAAGCTGATGACGTGCTTAATGCCATCCCCAGCTCTGCCTGCTTTTCTTCTCCATTCCTCAGCTTGGAAATGGAAAAATGGCTCCCTTCAGAGCTGTTTCAAACACTGTATTGTGTTGTCTCTCATCTTCTCTGCTGCTCAGCTCATTTGCCCTTTGTTCTTAATCTCTCATCTACAATATGTAGCTCTACCCTCTACTTCAGGGCTGCTATTTCGATTATAATGATCATAAATGCCAAGTACTCAATAAATGTAAAGCATGGATATTAAAGTGCAGAGGTTTATGTGGATATTCTTATAAATAGATGATTCATAAGACCAAGTTAATGCTTTGAGAGCTATGACGAGCTCTCTTTGTTCTTAATATAGCAATATCCACATGGACAATTTCTTTTCATTAAATGTCCTACACGGGCATCACTCTCCATCTACAGCAAAATTCCACATTAATGCACCAGTGGTGTATCAGAGGTCATAATTGAAACTCAGTCATCACAGCCATTTGTTCTCTTTCAAAATATCCCAAACAAGATTGACAATATACTGCCAAACATGGAAATGAACAAAACGTTGATGGGAATAATTCAATCAATGGGAAGACAATTCGTCATCTACATAAACTTTACAGAAGGAACCCACAGAGAATTTACAACGTTGTCTCATGGGGAGTGTAGCTAATTGTCTTCACCCCACTTAAAGTCGCAAATGGCATAATTTATTGTTTTGTATTACCCCAATCAAGGAACTACCAATTCAGTCAAACAGCAAACAACAGCCTAAACATGGAACCACGAAGATCATTCCCACCAACATTGACAGGGTAAGCTACAAAAATATAAGCAGAGAGAAAGCCCCACTTCCTTCTAGCACTGATGATATTACCTAGTTGGGTCATGAAACGTCTGCGTGAAAGCAACCAAGCTGAGAGAGCACCAAGGACCCCACAGTTGTCTTCCTCCTCCTCTCCACACACCCCACTTTTTTCTAGCACTGATGATGTTACCTAGTTGGGTCATGAAACGTCTGCGAGAAAGCAACCAAGCTCAGAGAGCACTGAGGACCCCACTTTTCTTTAGCTCTTTACTTAATATGAACCCTACTAGAGTAATAGACATTAACACAATGAACATGAATTTGGGCAAACTCTGGGAGGTCTTGGAGAACGGGGGGAAGGAGGCATGCTTTGGTCCATGGGGGTCGTGAAGAGTCGGACACAATTTAGCAACTGAATAACAAAACAACAACAAAATAGAAGTTACTCTCAGAGCTAGACACATTCAATCTCTGCCTCTTTGCAGTTTCTGCTCTCTTTGTCCAACCATAGGAGAGCTGGTCCTATCCTTTCCCGTCCACTCAGTCTTAATCATCTTGTAGAACAGGACCAGAAGCCAACACTGAAAACATATCCAAGGCAGATCAAAGGAGTATTGTTTCAGCCCTGTTTATCTACAGGGAGCTGCAGAGGAATTCTCATTTAGCACGGAATTTCCCCAAAATGGAAGTGGCGGCCCCAGGAAGGTGGGGCTGAAGAGAGGAGAAAATAAAATTAAAGCCCTACTCACCCACACAGAGGATGTTGAAAGAGAAACCATGGCCAACCGATTTGTTAACCAACTGGTCAGGCAAGCTATCGAATCCGACATGGCCAGAAAGAGGAACAGTTCGACAACCTTCACCCTAAGATGGTCACAAAAAGGATGCAGGTTAATATTAAGTCTCAGTGGCTCAACGTTTGGGACAGACTTTTAGATACATTCTGAATTTTGGGTTTGGGGGTAGATGTTGATTCCTTCAAAGCACATACTGCTGGACTCTTTTGCTCTTCCTGAATTCCACATACATGCTAGAACAACATTATGCTCTGGCAGAAGAACAGAGGAGAAAAGCTATGGGAGATTTGCCTTGGGGGCCGGAGCAGGGTCCAGAGTTGAGAAACACATCACAAGAGCGATAGCATCACATCCTTTAAAGACTAACTGACCTGGAGCAACTTCTGGTAACTTTCTTGCCATGTTCATTTGGCCAACATCAGTAAGCTCCGAAGCCTAACTTCAACCTAGTAGCTGGAGGGGAGAAGATTCCTAAGAACTGATATATGGAGACATGAATCTTCCGCATAGTAGGAATGTCCACAGGACGTGGCCAAAAATGATGCAATGGAAGCTCTGCCTCGTTTTATGTGTTCATCAAAAGCCATGTTTTCATCATGTAGTCCTGGCCACTTTCAGGTTTTAGATCAGAGGTCCCCAATCTTTTGGGCACCAGGGACCAGTTACCTGGAGAGAGGTTTTTCCGTGGACAGAGTGCTGTCTGCATCCCGTGGATGGGGCTTTGCTTGTTTGTGCGGACCGGTTGTTGGCATGTTGCAACCCGGTACCGATCCATGGCCTGGGGGTTGGGGACCCCTGTTTTAGACAATAACCGATGGACCCCCTTGCAAGTGCATTTGTCAACAATTTCTATCCTTAGGGAAAAAATCCGTTCAACCATCAGATTTCAGCCCATCAAACTGGACTGCAAGATGCAAAAGGAGTTTGCCATCTTGTGGGTCACAGCTGGAGTTTGGGTTGAGCCAGGCTAAAAGAGCAACTTTGAGCTTTTTTTTTTTCAATTCTGCAAAAGGACCTTATCAGAAATGGGAATGAGGTGGGCCATTTGTAACAAGGATAGCCCTTTCCATGCTCTTTTGCATTCATAAATCACAAATGCAACGCCTGTGAACAAAACATTGCCTCCAGCATCAAGAAAAGGGGTACACTTCGTGTCATGGGAAAGTTTTATCAGCCCCCCCCCCTCACTATTTCTGCTGCCCTACGAAGGAGATTCATCATGTAAGCGCGCATGTCGCTGCAACTTTAAAACTGATGCACAGGGAATTCAGAAAGAACCAAGACTGTTTTTTTCAAACTTGGCAAGTTTATGATGGGTAAACATCAACTCCCAGAATTCTGGGAATTGTAAGTCCACCCATCTTCCAATTGCCAAGGGTGAAAAACACTACTTTAGAGTATTGGATCACCCACTTGCCAACCCTAATTCCTTCCTTTTCTGCCTGCAAAAAGTCCATGATTAAATTGTATGGGTGGGGGGGACAAAAAAAAAGAACAGGAGAAGTGACTGTTAGGAAAAAAAGAAAGAGCTGGTATGGTTTTCCCTGCTAGCCAGGAGGCTTGCTGTAAGGTGCATTTACTGGAAAATATATCCAATTATAAGAGACCAATTACAAAGGTTCCTGCTGCGGTAATTAGCACCTCTCTGCATTTTCAATCTTCAGAGCAGCGCCAAATAAACGGAGTTTTTGTCCACACACAGAAATGCAGCAGATTCAAAAATCACCCCTTGAAGCCTGAGAAAGCAAAGGGTTCGTTTTAGGCGGGGCATCAATAATCGGTGTGTTTTTTTTTTTCAGTGAATGCTTCACCTCTTTGTAACGTCTAATGGGATCCTGTATCTCAACCGTCCCCAAACCTGAAAGCTCACAAACATGTCGGTTTTGCAACCTCCGCTTTTTCTGTGCAGACTAGGAAATCTGGAGGGATGTTAACACCCACACATCTGGCGAGGGGCAAGTGAGGGAAGGCTGCCTTTGCTGTGGGAAGCTGCTGAAGCCTGCAAGTGAAACTCACTTCCTGTGAGTGAGTTTCCTGTTTGCCTGTGGTTGCTCTCTCTCCCTTCAAAAAAGCAGTGAACAGCTTGCCGTAAACTCTAATAATCAATGGATATAGAAAAGTCAAGTTTTCCTCACCCAGACTCAACTCCTGGCCTAAACAAATGTTTTTTCTGGCACAATCTTTCTCTTTCTCTTTCTTTCTTTCTTTCTTTCTTTCTTTCTTTCTTTCTTTCTTTCTTTTTCTTTCTTTCTTTCCTTCCTTCATTCATTCATTCCGCCCCTTCCCTCCTTCCCTCCCTTTCTTCATTCTCCTTTCTTCCTTTTCCTTCCTTCCTTCCTTCTTTCTTTCTTTCCTTCTTTCCTTCCTTCCTCCCTCCCTCCCTCCCAGATTGGCGTCCTGGAGTAGACACTGATTTTGGTCAACCTGAGAAATGTTCCGCTGAAGGCCAAGTGCCACCATTATCGTACCACCAGCAGTGAGGGGTATAATCCGATCCTTTTGTCTTTATCCATTTTCGGTGACTCACTCATCCGGTATCCGAGAGGAATCACTTTGGGATTCAAAAGTTGACTTTCAATAAAAGCCCTTGACAAAAACAAAAAACAGAGGCGATGAGACACGCGGGGATGTTTTCAAACACTTTCCCCAACTCTGCCAAGCTAGGAGACAGAGATGAAAAGATGCCAACTTTATCCGTGGCACTTGAGGAGACTTCTGCATAGAGACTGGGTGGCCCTAGAAAGTTTAATTATCCATCCAAAGAAAGGGCAGCTTTGAGGCCTTTGCGAGGAAGAACTGAGATTCAGTAAAGAACAATGTAGACATTAATAACTGCAGCAGAAAGGAACTGCCTGGATGGTCAGGAGCAGTTTGGCCATTTCAACTACTGTTGACCTAGCACTGTCTTCCAGAATCCAAGTAGACTACAAGAAAGTTCTCCAAATCACCTGAGGCCAGGACAAGAAATAAAGACTGGAAGCTCCTTAGAGATCCAACCTAAAAGAAAGGAGAATTCTCTTGATGGTGAGAGCAATTAACCACTGGAACTCCTTGCTTCCAGAAGTTCTGAGTGCTCCATCACTAGAGGTTTTCAAGAAGAGATTGGACAAGTAAAAAAGATGTTGAGACTCTAGAAAGAGTACAGAGAAGAGCAACAAAGATGATTAGGGGACTGGAGGCTAAAACATATAAGGAACGGCTGCTGGAATTGGGTATGTCTAGTTTAATGAACAGAAGGATGAGGGGGGACATGATAGCAGTGTTCCAATATCTCAGGGGCTGCCCCAAAGAAGAGGGAGTCAAGCTATTCTCCAAAGAACCCAGAAGGCAGGACAAGAAGCAATGGATGGAAACTAACCAAAGAGAAAAGCAACCTAGAACTAAGGAGAAACTTCCTGACAGTGAGAACAATTAGCAAGTGGAACAACCTGCCTCCAGAAGCAGTAAATACTCCAACACTGGAAGTTTTTAAGAAAAGACTGGACAGCCATTTGTCCAAAATGGTATAGGGTTACCTGCCTGAGCAGGGGGTTGGACTTGATGACCTCCAAGCTCCCTTCCAACTTTATTATTATTATAAGCATTTGTCCGGAATGATATAGGATCTCCTGCTTGAGCAGGGGTTGGATTACAAGGTCCCTTCCAACTCTGTTATTCTGTTGGGAGTCAATCTGCTAAGAAATGTCTTGTTGGCTAAATCCAGGGAGAATGAAGATGAGTCTGGAGTAGATTCTCCAAATCACCTGAGGGCAGGAGAAGAAGTAACGACTAGAAGCTCCTTAGAGATCCAACTTAAAAGGAAGGAGAAATTCCTGACAAGAGAAGAATTAAACAGTGGGACAGCTTGCCCCCAGAAGCTGTGGGTGCTCCATCACTGGAGACCTTCAAGAAAAGATTGGACAGCCTTTTTGTCTGGAATGCATTAAGGTCTTCCACCCCTTTGGTTCTAAGATACAGCAAAGGCCCAGCTATAGCAAGGACAATCTGATTTTTTTCCCCCATAATTTATAACTGAGTCACCTTCTGCTTTGGCAATATTCCTCAGCAGACTTCAGTCTGGAAAAGAGCCAGAATTCAGTAGAACATGTGCTTTGCCCGACAGTTTCCACGGATATCATAAAATTTATTTACAGTCATTTATTTAGTGAGACAACTTGAAGCACTGAAAAAAAATAACTGTTCAGTTTATGATGGCTGCTGCAACATTGGCTATTGCACAATATTGGAAAAATTAAGAGCTTCCATCACCTGGTCTATCATTAAGATTGTTGCTAGGGGAGAATTGATATATAAAACATAGAAGATGGCGAGATGTGCTAGAAACTTTTGCTTCAATTTGGGAAGAAAACTGTTACTGTAATCTTTTTTTGAAAAACATTAGGCCAAATCCTTTTTTGTTTTGTTTTGTTTATCCTGCACATTGTTGAAATCTTGATCTATTTTTGGATCTGTTTAGTAGGCTGGTTAATCTTGCGGGGATATTTTTAATTTTTAGCTACTGTATTTTTACTCTCTGTTATTGTTTTTATAGTATATTTTATTATCTATTGCTGGCAGGGGAATTCTGGGAATTGAAGTCCACACATCTTCACCTTGCCAAGGTTGAGAAACACTGCTGAAAAGGGGATTCTTTCTGAATTTCCTAAGCAGCAGTTTTAAATTGCAGCAACCTGCACACTTAAACTGAGACTCTGCTTCAAAGGGCAGCGAAAATGGGGCTGCTAATGAAACTTTCCCATGGTTCAAAGTACTGCACACTCCTTTACTTGACGTTGGAGGCAATATTTTTTTCATGCTAACTGGGGAATAATGGAAGTTGAAGGCCACACACATCTTAAAGTTCCCAAGGATGAGAAGCACTGGTCTGTTGCCAAGACATGTATCCCTCCAGCTATATCAGTGATCTGGTTCGTTCTTTAAGCCAAATTAGCAAAATAAAGTCCGTTTTCAAGCAGAACTGGGAAAGCTTGCCCCGAGTATCTTAGCCATGCTAGCTGGCCCCTGAGGATAAAATTCTAAACTCAACTATCCAGTGCTTTTCCTTGGTGTAAAGATGTTTCCTCTGATTTTTCCACTCTGAACATTATGATGCAGAGTGGAATTTGATGCCAACAAAAGCAAAGGTTATTTCCCCCCCTCCTTTTCACCATCTCTAATTTGACGTACCCTGTTACGACCAAGGTTCCCGCCACTGAAACTACAAGTCTTTTTAATTTTGGAAAACGGAGCTTTTGTACAAACGAACATGCAAGAAGTATTTTACTTTTGCAGCCAAGCTGCTAAATTATAAAAGTGTTTATTGTGATCCACTTCTTTTTCTTTAATGTAATGTTTATTGAAAAAAACAGTTAAGAAGGTAAAAGCAATACAAATATAAGAAAAGAAAGAAGAGAGAGTAAGAAGCAGAAAGAGAAAGTATCCTTTTGACAATGGTTATAAATGCGTTTGTATTTCCCACCTACCCCTAAAATTACACCATAATTTCTTCTTTCCATAAGTTGTTTTCTAATCACCACCCCCAAGTTATCAACTCGCAAGTTTCATTTTTTTTTCAGCAAAAAGTCGATAAGAAGTTTCCAGTTACCGATAAATGCAATAGAGATCATTGTAATTGATCCTTCTCTAAACAAATGAGATAATTTTGCTACCTCTGCTAGTTTTCTTGTCTCCATCAAACCCTAAAGCTATATGTTTCTCAACCTTTAAGAGGTGTGGACTTCAACTTGAGAACCACTGCTAGAATAAAGGATATACAGGTAGTCCTTGACTTACAACAGTCCATTTACTACTACTACTACTACTACTACTAATACTAATACTAATAATAATAATAATAATAATAATAATAATAATAATAATAATAAAGTTGGAAGGGAGCTTGGAGGTCATCTAGTTCAACCCCCTGCTCAGGCAGGAAACCCTATACCATTTCAGACAAATGGTGTCCAGCCTCTTCTTAAAAACTTCCAGTGTTGGAGCATTCACCGCTTCTGGAGGCAGGTTGTTCCGCTGGTTAATTGTTCTAACTGTCAGGAAGTTTCTCCTTAGTTCTAGTCTGCTTCTCTGCCTGGCTAGTTTCCATCTGTTGCTTCTTGTCCTGCCTATAGTTAATTTATGAGTCAGAGAAACCACTGTGTGTCTACCGGGCCGACCTATTTTTCACATTTCTTAGAACAGGAGCACCAACTTTTAAACTCCGTGGCTCATACTCTGAGTAACCAGAGACTTGAGAAGCTCACCCAAAAGACTCAGAGGTTGCGTCCTGCTTTCCAGCTCGGGGCATTTTGAGACAAGCTGCCAACAGGATGATGAACCAGAACTACAAACATACCTTTCAGTTTGTCAACTCTATTAACAGCCATAATAAATGAGCTACTGATGGTTGAGGATACACCAGTAAGATTACAATGCCTTGGTAAAGCCACATTTGGAATACTGCATCCAGTTTTGGTCACCACAATGTAAAAAAGCTGTTGAGACTCTAGAAAGAGTGCAGAGAAGAGCAACAAAGATGATCAGGGGACTGGAGGCTAAAACATATAAAAGGAACGGTTGCTGGAATTGGGGTGTCTAGTCTAGTGAGAAGGACCAGGGGTGATATGATAGAAGGGTTCCAATATTTGAGAGGCTGCCCCAAAGAAGAGAGGGTCAAGCTATTTTCCAAAGCACCAGAAGGGAAGACAAGAAACAACGGATGGAAACTAATAAAGGAGAGAAGCAACCTGGAATTAAGGAGAAACTTCCTGACAGTGAGAACAATTAACCAATGGAACGGCTTGCCTCCAGAAGTTGTGGGTGCTCCATCTCTGGAGGCTTTTAAGAAAAGATTGAACAACCATTTGTCTGAAGTGGTATAAGGTTTCCTGCTTGAGTGGGGGTTGGACTAGAAGACCTCCAAGGTCCCCTCCAACACCGTTATTTTGCTTCTTCTCCATGACAGATAAGACCACGACGATTTGCTACTCTTCTTGATGGTAGTGGAACCTAACATCTCCCTTCTTTGCTGGTTGCTTTCCCTGTGCAAAAGCCTTCCTAGCCCTGGACCACATGAGTCATGCTTGGGAATGAAAACATTCTCTGTGTGCGATACATCTGCTTGTCGCCCGTCAAAAAGCTACATCAATGAAGGCACTAGATGGAGGCCTCTCTGCCTGCAGGCAAAGCCCCAAACCTCATAATTATCTGTTGTTGGCTGCTAAACTTTAGAGTGTTACATAAGCATCTTGATGGAAGGCTGCGAACAGTGCATGTTTGGTGATGCCATTTTTGGCATTACAGACGGTGTACAGCTGGCCAAGTCTTTTCCCTAAGGAGAGACTATGAACTCAACGACTGAGCCCAGATCTGCATCCAAGTCTCACACCCTTCTACATTCTTAAATTTTTTTTACACCCTTTGCCGTCATCCAGAAGGATGAATTCCAAGCCTTCAGATCTAAGTACGAGTAAAAATGACTTCAATTCAAACTCAGCTCCTGCTCATTTTAATGGATACATCATCCAGGCAGGATGGGTTTATTATTATTATTATTATTATTATTATTATTATTATTATTATTATTTAGTTGTTGTTGTTGTTGTTGTTGTTGTTTAATCCTCTACCTACTTGAGTTCTCAGCCTAGTTCTAGGATTTGGTAGTGTTCTCTTATTCAGCTACTAATCCTGCTTCGTTTTTCAAAATCAGATCAAGCCAGTTTAAGCGCTACCATCTAAACTGGGCCTGAACTGAAGCATGAATATGTAAAAAAAAACAAAACAAAACACTAAGAAAAGAATAAGGTGCCTTCAGAGGCTTTTGTAAACAAGCAACAATGGGGGCTTTGAGGTTTTTTTTTTTTCTCAAATGGCATCTACTTACCCAGAAAAATGGACAATTACCATAGGAGAGAATATCCTCAAAGG